CAATTCAACCTAATGTGACTGCTGAATTAAACCTACTAGTGGGCCCTATATTCCAGGGCTAGGGATAAGGTAATAAGCCACCAACCCCAATTTATAATGGGCAAACCCAAAATCTCGTGTTGCCCATGAATTTTGGAAGAAAAAGAGTTAATAGGAATTGTCTCAAACACTAGCTTGTTATATAAGTTAAGTATGGAGTATAAATAGTTTAAGTTCGAATGAATATTGACAAAAAAGAAATAATTTATGGAGAGAGTGATAAATAATTAAGCCAAAAAAAACATGGATTTAGTAAACTTTTCTATCTGACATTTATTTCCCTTTTAACCAGTATATAAGCGTAAAATGATAATTTACTAATTTAATTTTATAAGTGAAAAATTATAACATCTCAACAAGTTTTTTAATTAATTAATTTTGGGTAAAATTTCCACACTGATAGTAATATATTATTGAAATTAGTTTTTTGTTCTTGTTAATATTAATAACAATATAAAGATAGTTTATTTATTTCTTTGATTATGCAACTTTTCATTAAAACATAAATTTATTAAAAAATAAACGAAATAGTTGAATAGTTATGTGAGTAGATATGTAAAATAATTTTAGAACTTTTTATTAAAATTTTCCTTATATAAATTTAATAATCAAAATCATGAGGATATTAGAAGCCCAATGACTAATGATGTGAATCCTAAGACGTATCCAGAATCAGTGGTAGTTGTACCATTACCAGTGCTTGTGTTATTATTAGTATTGTTTGGTGTTACAACAACAGTTCCACATTATGTACATTTAGAACTTGCAGGATTCCATGAATATAGATAGGCAGTCAAAGTGTAACAATCTCCTTCTTTTAATGTAGCTGCATCAGTAGCGGTACAAGCACCATTAGAAGTTGAACAAACATTGTATTTCTTATAATCCCAAGTGAAGAAGTATTTGCAACTGTTCTCTTATTTAGCATATGAAGCACAAGTATGATCAACACATGTCTTAGTTTTAGAATCTATTATGCATCTATCCTTAGCCAAATCACAAGCATTAGAATCAGTTCCTGATGAAGCACAACTGGTCATTAAAGAGCATTTTCCAGTAGTAGCTCCTGCAGTTGTAGTTTCAGTCCAAACACAAATACCATCAGATCCTTTAGAATTACAAGAAGTCTTGGAAGTATATGTAGAACAATTAGCTCTAGGAATGCAATTAGTACCATTAGAAACACAATTAGCAACTCCTTAACAAGCTTATGTTGTCGAACCATTTGGAATATCTGAACAAATTTTAGTTCTGCAACTTCCTTCAGGCTCTCCTGCAACCCAGAAGCAAGCTCCTTCAGTACCACCAGCAATATTGCAAGCAGCTTATTATGTATAAGTAGAGCAAGCACCTTTAACAAGACACTTAACACCATCTGAGGTACAAGTCTTCAGTTTGGATGAACAGTCTGCTTCTGTAGTGTAAGTTAGATCCGAACATTATTAATCTCTGCATTATTTTGTAATCTCATCTGGTACACAAACACCTGTTGAGGTTATAAATCCATTAGCATCTTTTTAAACTCCATCCTTGTTTCTAAAGCATTAATTTTAAGAGTATGTAGAACATGCAGCTAATGGAATACATCCAGTTGAATAGTCTGATGTACAATTTGGATTTGCTTTATTACAAGCATCATGATCTAAATAATAAGCATCAGAACATGAAGTGAATTTCTTGCAAATAGTATCTGTAGCTCCTTTAGCAGAAACTGTTTAGATACATTCTCCATCTGTTCCTGTTTTACAACCTCCTTTAATGTTTGTATCTGCACAACTTGTAATTCCAATACATGAACCATCACCATCAGTTGTACAATTAGGAGAGATCCATTTACATTTGTCATTAGCAGAATCATCAATAGTCACTTTCAAACTTTTGCAAGACTCATATTAGATGCATTTTCCTAGACTATCCTCATTTACATATTTTGGAATCCATAAACAAGGAGCATCATTTCCTTCAATGCAGGCGGCTCTGACTTTAATGTCCTAACAATTTGTCTTTTTTGTACATCTTCCACCTTAGCCAAGTGTACATCCAACCTTATTGCAAGCGGCATAAGTTGTAAATGTAAAATCCTTGCATTCTTTTAATCTGCAATTACTAGTTTCTGTATCCCACTAACAATCTAATCCACTTGAATCAGTTATACAAGCAGCTTAAACATTAGCAGCTGTGCACGCTCCTTTAAGAGTACAACCTCCATCTTTCTTTGTTGTACAGGATTATTATTATTATCCTGGTAGTGGTGGTGGTGGTGGTGGTGGTTTATAGTACTATTAACATTAGGCTTCAGTTGTTAAAGTTGTTGGTGCAGTTGTACAATTTTTTTTTGTACAATAAGCAGTTTATCCAGTAGGAGTCATCCATTAACATTCACTGTTATTTGAATCTGTCACACATCCAGCTTCAGCTAATGCTTAACTGCAAGATCCTCTTCTAACACAATTAACTCCATTTGATGTACAAGTAGAAATTTATGCTTTACATAAAGCATCAGTAGTTAATGGGAAATCTTCACATATTTTTGTCTTACATTTGACAGGATCTGTTGTGCAACCAAATAAATAACTATTACATTCCGAATCTGAGCCATAGTTTGGTGAATTTTCGCATTTCTTAGTAATACACTTTGATTCTGCTGTATCCCAATAACATTTTCTTGATGATTTGTCAACTGATCCATCAAAACATTGATTATTGGTCATCTCTTCACAAGTCTCAGGAATAGCGATGCAACCATTATCTGTTGCATTAACAGTACAACCAGTTAAATATGTATTACAAGCTGAATGAGTATTAACAGTTTCTTAAGCAGTTAAACAACTCTTATTAGCACAAGTAGTGCCATTCCATCCACATTCAATATAATTACCGTCTTTATCCTTTTCACTACTTAATTTACATTATCCTTCAAGAGAATATAAATTGCATGTTTTTAAAGCTGTACAACCTTGAAGAGTAAGGGTTCCACTGACATCAACAACATTGACTGTGCATCCAGGAACAATAAGATATCCATAACATGCAATATGATCGTTATAGGATGTATTTGGTGCAGTAGCACATGATTTATCGGCACAAGAAGCAGGATCAGTATTTGTATTCCAAATACAAACATCCCCCTTTGTATTGAATTTGCATTATTCTTCAATAGCGTATGAACTACAATTAGTATAAGGAATACATCCTTAACCAATTGCCTTCTCTGCTGTTGCTTTGACTGTGCATTTACCTAAAGCTGCACATTAATTATGGCTGCTAAAACTAGCTGATGCTTCTGCTGCATTACAACTTTTATCCACACATTTTTTAGCTGTTGGATTCCACAAGCATTCCCCTCCAGTAGCATTCTTAATGCATGCACCTTAAACTTCATATGAACTACAAGTATTTCTTAATTAACATCCACCTGATCTTAATCCACAATTTGTTGAAACAGCTTAACATCCAGCTAAATCAGTAACTGAAGCAGGTGCCCCTTCACAATTCTTTTATACACATGCTGTTCCTTATACAATACATTCTCCTTCATTTGTAGCATATCCGCACTCTGTTGTTATTGTATATTCTGCACATGTAGCTTTTGCTATCACACATGCAGTTTTATTTGAATTTACTGAACAAGTATTTTAGAAACCTCTACAAGCTTCATATGTAACTGGGCCAGTGAAACTAGCACAAGTAGGAGCAGAAGGCGCAGATGGTGCAGCAATATTTTCACAACCAGTTGAATCTGATTTAGCCTGGCATCCATATAAATTACAAATTGCATTTGTGTATGTAATAGGAGTAGCTGCTGCTTTGAAAAGTTTAAGATCTCCACAAGGTGTAGTACCTTAAGTAAACATAACACATGTAGTTCCATCGCTATTTATCATACAGGATGTTTAAAGATTACTAGAAACACAATCAGTCGAAGGAGTTTCATAATTAACGCAATTTTCTTTTGCTTCAACACAAGTAGTCAATTCTGAGTTTACTGAACAGGTGTTACCACCAGTACTGACTGCCTTACAGTAAGCAGGTGTTAAACCTACTCCGGTAATGCTACTACAATTACCAGTACCTATTAGTGCATCACCTGATGCAAGAGTGCAAGTTCCAGATACTAAAATACAAGGTCCATTATCTGCATGTGTACAATTTGCAACTGCAGTAGTTGCACAAGTCGAAACTGTAGCGACACAACTTTACCCATCCCTTTTGATTGTACATTATTTATCATATGCCTAGCAAGTATCATAGTTGAAAGGTCCTGTAAAAGCTGCACAATTAGCTGAACATTTTGTACCACTTGTCCATGTACAAGAACTTTTCTTTTACTAACAAATTAAAACGCTTGTTCCTGCAATTTCACTGCATTTTGTTGCAGGTACCAATTTTGCACAAGCTGGGCTTCCGCTTGTATTCCAATAGCAATATTTATCTGTACTAGCCCAAACACATGCTGTTTCTGCTAATCCTACACATTCGGTTGTTGCAGTAGTGCAGGCTGTGCCAGCTGAATTAACAGAGCAAGTACTGTCTAAATATTAACAATAACCTGCTGTAAATCCTATTCCGGTATATTTTGTGCAATCCAAAGAAGTTATATTAGTACATAATGTATTTACAGTATCCCATGCACATTATTACTTTACACCCACAGTATGTGCTTCACAAGCTCCTTAAATTGTATAATCTGCACAAGTAGCTTTCTTCAAAGCACATTTCTTTTATGTTAATGTACATTTTTTAGAAAATGTTTAACATTTATCATCACTATCATAGGCATCTGAATCCGCTGCTTCTGCACAAGATTTATCTCTACAGGTTGATGGTGGTGTAAATACACAATCATTACCATTATTGTCTTTTTTGCATTAATCACTAACAGTATATTTATCACATGCTGCCAAATCTTAACACTTATTAGAAGCTGCATTGACTGTGCATGTTGAAATAGCATTATTACAATTAACATGATTATATGTTTCTAATGTTATATTTGCACAAGAAATATCTTTGCAAGAAGTTGAATTTGCATCCCAATAACAATTTTTAGTTTAAGTATCAGATACGTATATCAAATTTGTTTATTAGCAAGCAGCTTAAACTAATCCAGCACAAGCTTTTGGTCTAGGAATACATCTGAAATTAGCATCAATAACACATTTCAAATTATAATAAGTCCAACATCCAACTTGAGTTACACCAGCCCTAAGAGTTACTTTATGTGCATTGTCACATTTTATATCTATACAAACTGGGTTACTTACATCAGTGAAACTATCCCATTAACATTTTAAAGGAGTTTGGCTTCTAGTTTATTCAATTTCACAATTATCTGATTTCTTTCTACCACTACAAGTTGATGGAAGATCAATGCAACCAGCACCATCATTATCAACAACACATCCTGTTTTATAACTATCACAACTTTCAGTTGTAGTATAATCAGCTGAGGGGGCAGTAAGACATGATTAATCAACACAACTGGTTCCAAGTAATCCACATTTTCCACCTCCTTTTTTAATTTAGCAACCATCAGCCTTGATAATAGCCTCACATTTAATAGGTAAATCCATACAACCAGATCCTGAATTATCTAGAGTGCATTATCCAGGTAGATATGTATTGCATTAAGCATATGTTGTATAATCTTTGGGTGCTAAGGCACATTATTTCTAATAGCATTTTCCTTTGTATATGCATGGTTTATTATTAAAATCATTGGTACAATTAGCCTCTTCTTAAACATTTTCGCATATTTTGTCTACACAGGTTGATCCACTTCCAACAGTGCATTTTGGTAAAAATGAATTACATAAAGCATGAGTATTATTTGAACTAGGAGCATTAGTACAATTTTTAGTCCAGCATTTTCCATTATCCCAGAAGCAATCATTTTTAGGTGAATTTCCATCGTTCTTACAAGCTATTTCCAAATTAATTGCTTCACATGTGGTATTAGGTCTACAACCACCTCCATCTTAAGTTATACAATTTCCTTTTGGTAAATAGGCTTCACATTAATCATTTGTAACATTTGTTTTTGGAGCATTCGCGCAAGTTCTATCAGTACATCCTGAAGCAGCACCAACTTTAGCAGTACAAGTGGGCAAAAATGTGCTGCATTATTCATGCCCAACATATAAGGAACCTGCATTTTCACAAATCTTTGTTTTACAAGTACCATCCCAATGACATAAACCTCCACTTAAAGTCTTATCACAAGCTTCTTTAATTGTTGCAGCACCACAACCAGTGTTTTTTGTGCATCCATTTCCTGTTGTTATACATTCTTTCAAATAGGATTAACAGCTTGCATTTGTTTTATTTGATGGTAAAGCATTTGCACATGTTTTGTCTACACAAGTCGATGTAGTGGGATTCCAAAAGCAATCCTCTCCTGAACTGTTTTTGACACAAGCTGCTTGGTTAGTTGCTGATCCACAATTAGTTCTTGTAACACAACCCCCATCTTTCTTAGTAGTACATGATGGAATGAAGTTTTTACATACTTCATCTGTTTTTAGTTCATCTGAAGCATTATCACATGTTTTATCTAAACACTTTCCTTTACTCCAAAAACATGCAACGTTTTATTTATCTCTAACACAACTAATTTCAGCAAGATTATCTTCGCATTTTGCTCCCAATTCAATACATCCTCCTCCTTCTTTAGCTGTACATTTAGACAATTAGGCTCTGCATAGTGCATCAGAATTTAATTTATCTGCTGGTAATTTAGGACAGTCATCTGCATCTTCGCATTTTGGATTTGTTGCATCAGTTGTGTTCCAGAAACAAAATCTTCCTAAATTATTTAAAACACAGGACTTAGAAGTTTTATAAGTATCACATGCTGCTTTCTCTACACAACGAACTCCATCTGTTATGCATCTATTAGAAATTGCTTAACATTTCTCATCAGTATCATTAACAAATGCTGTGCATCCAGTGAAGTGAGTGCAAGTCTTGCCATCCCATGCACATGGATCTTTCTTTGGACATTCTTCAGCTGTATTGAATTAATCACAATAAGTAGCAAAGGTTGTGGTTTCAGTTGGTGTTGTTGGTGTCTAAGTCACTTCACATGCTTTTGTTGTTGTATTCCATGTACAACCTGATTTTTTTCCACAATCTGCTACTGTTAGCATCTGTGTACATGAGCATGTATTTGCGATTGTCACTGTTTAACAATTTGTTAGTATTACTAATAATGCTATTAATAGTATAGCTTTATTCATTTACTTTAAGTATTAAAATTTAATTAAAGATTTTAGGATATTTAAATTTGAATGGAATTAATTTTTTTTTTTTTTCAAAATAGGATATTTTTTCATCCACTATCTTTTTTCAAGATTAATTTAATAATTTAATTATCGTAAATAATAAAATTTCAAATTTCCTTCTCAATTTTAGAATTTAAGTAAAAAAGGGCATTTTCATTTTATTTTCACTGATGCATTTATTAATCTGATTGTCATAAATTCTATTGGAGGACCTTAAATTCAATAATAAATGTTTTTGATTTATAGCCATGATTTAAAAAAAAACTCAATTCCTAAAATAATCAAAAGTTAGAATGAAATTAGCTTTTCTAACCTTACAAGCTTTTTAGAGAAAGATTCATTTTGCAGTTTATTAAAATTACAACAATATCACTAAAACAAATATGTTATAAGCTTTCTAATTTACAATAATTCTTAAAATTCAAGTGTTAAAAAGTAAATGAAAAATAAGAAAAAAATTCAACTAGGTTGTTAGCTAGGTATTTAGATTAAATTTTAACTTTTTTCATGAACTTTTGTCTAAAAGAAAAGCTTAAGAATTAGTTTAAAAATATATATTTTGTATTTTAATTCTGTTAAATATATAAAATTTCTTTCTTTTCACTCTATACGCCACTTGTTGTAGGTTTATCTAATTTGAATTTAAGAGTAAATTATAGAATTTCAATTTGAAGAGAAGCAAAAAAATTCGGCAATTTCTATTATTTTTTAATTAGTTTAATTAAGAATTTATTAAATTACAAAAATAAAAAGTAATGATGAAAAAATTATTATTAGTTTTATAATATATGAAACAATTGCTATATAAATAATGAAAGAATTATTGGTTGCCTTATAAATCAAATATTCACATTTAAAAAAGACATAAAAGATTATTCAAACTTATAAAGTCCAATAAAATTATTTTTAGCTTCCATTCAAATAGAATGTAAAAGAATTATTAATTTCCATTTAAAATTTTTCAGAGTAAATGTAAAGTTTTATTATTATTTATTATTAATCATAGATTCTACAAAAAAGTAAAATTTTTGCCCTCAAATAAAAACATTTCTCCTAACATTAATTAATAAGGTGAAGAAGGTCTTATAGAAATGATACAAATATCATAATAAATTCGTTTTTTGAATAAAGAAATTTACAAAAAAAAAAAAAAATCAATAAAATTATTTTTTTCCTAATGGGAAAGCTACTAGGATAAGAGAGCAATCAATGAAATATGAACTTCAATTTTATTTGTGTTGTAGTAGAATTGGATTTCCAACCCAAATTTCTAAAATTCTGAATCTCTCTATCATATAGAAAATTTATAAATACCTTCTACTTTTTACAGTCAACATTAATTTGCAAAATTTGAACTAATACTTTAAGAAAAATATTAATCAGAAAATGTGATACAAAACTTGTCTTACATTTTCCATGGGGTTAAGCAAAAACAAACAAAGGTTTGGTCTAGTATTTGGGTTGCCAGTCAAAACCATGAAATGAAATAAAGTTTTTTAATGGAACATTTATTAGATCATAAAATCCTCAATATGATATTTGAATTTGCCTCTTATTACTTTATTGAAAGCAAAAGAAAATAAGAAGTTCGAAAAGTACTCTCAGAACCAATTAGGTTACCAAAAACTACGAATGTTTCAGATTTGAAAGAAATCAGGGCTATGTAAATGTGTGAATATTACAAGCAATTTTATCAACCAACACTCTTTTTATTTAATTAGATAACCAAAATCTGATTGGACTAAGAAAATGATATGTTGCATAAATGAGTAAATTTTTTTAGCTTTACTGAAAAACATAAATTATTATAATTGTAAATAAAGGATGTAATTGATAATTTTTTTAATTGAAAAAATTGAGAGAATTCTTAAAGACTAAAGACATGGATCCCAAAGACAATATCAATCTCTTCATTAACTTTATCATGATAAAAATTTCCATTTATAAGCATAGTTTAAACAAGATTCTTTAGCTTTGCCAAGAATAGTGCAGACAATTCAATTGAATAACAAAGTATCTATCTTCAAAAGGAGCATCAAATACCTTATTTTAGTAAAGAAGAATTCGTTTAGATTTTCTATATATGATATTTAAAATGAAATATAATTAAATAAATTTAAAAATAAAATTAATAATAAATTAAATAATGGGAAACGATATGCAAAGAGTGTAATAATTAGGGGATAGTATAAGATAATTGAGAGAAGATATGGATGCATTATCAAAAATTGCCCCTTAAGTTGAAAAGATGATTGCTTTATCAAGTACTTTAGAGTCAACAACTAAAAATGTAAATTTATTTCATTATTATTAGATTAACGAAAATATGTCTAAAGTAAGTAAGACTGTTTCAGAAGTAGATGAGAAAGCAAAAAAAGCTAAAGAATTAATAGATAAAATTCCTGGAGGTAATTAAATAAAGTCATTCTTTTGAGAATTTTACACATTTTATTTAATTCAATAATTTAGATTATGTCATAACACAAATATTTTTATTTATATAGAAATATATTAGAAAATAAATATTGAGTTAGAAATGAAAAAAACTTTGAAAATTTTGATATTTCTTATTTTATCTAAAATAGAAATATTATTAATGACAGATTATAAAAAAACAGCGATTTGATTTGGTTGGAAGTCAAACGCTTTAAACTGATTTCAAAAGATCCTTCTTAAAATAAAAATATTTTAAAATGAAATCGATTGAAATATTATTAATTACTTTTGCCATAGGATCATGCATTTACACACCTGATGAACGTCAATTTAATTAAGAAGCATTAACAGGAGCGTTTAGATTTAACAATTTGCCTGAACCACAACATGTATCGAATTGTGGAGATGATGCTATTTAAATTGATATTTTTAATTTTGTTGGATATATGGTCCAAAAAGCAGACAAAGCAAGCTTGTCTTAATTATTAGGACTAAAGAAAGAAGTTGACGATTATTTTAATGTAGTTAAATTAAATAATTATTTAGGCACTTCCAGAAGAATACACAAGTTGCTTATATGGTGAACCTGAATTTGCAGAGATCTGTACTATATATGGATTGAAAGAGACTGATAAAATGGAATAAATCACCGATAAAATTTATTAATATGCCATGGCTCATTTTATTTCCACAAAGAAAGAGATTCATTAAGGAAATATTTTATGGAATACAGACCATAACTATAATGATGCAGGATATTNTATATATGATATTTAAAATGAAATATAATTAAATAAATTTAAAAATAAAATTAATAATAAATTAAATAATGGGAAACGATATGCAAAGAGTGTAATAATTAGGGGATAGTATAAGATAATTGAGAGAAGATATGGATGCATTATCAAAAATTGCCCCTTAAGTTGAAAAGATGATTGCTTTATCAAGTACTTTAGAGTCAACAACTAAAAATGTAAATTTATTTCATTATTATTAGATTAACGAAAATATGTCTAAAGTAAGTAAGACTGTTTCAGAAGTAGATGAGAAAGCAAAAAAAGCTAAAGAATTAATAGATAAAATTCCTGGAGGTAATTAAATAAAGTCATTCTTTTGAGAATTTTACACATTTTATTTAATTCAATAATTTAGATTATGTCATAACACAAATATTTTTATTTATATAGAAATATATTAGAAAATAAATATTGAGTTAGAAATGAAAAAAACTTTGAAAATTTTGATATTTCTTATTTTATCTAAAATAGAAATATTATTAATGACAGATTATAAAAAAACAGCGATTTGATTTGGTTGGAAGTCAAACGCTTTAAACTGATTTCAAAAGATCCTTCTTAAAATAAAAATATTTTAAAATGAAATCGATTGAAATATTATTAATTACTTTTGCCATAGGATCATGCATTTACACACCTGATGAACGTCAATTTAATTAAGAAGCATTAACAGGAGCGTTTAGATTTAACAATTTGCCTGAACCACAACATGTATCGAATTGTGGAGATGATGCTATTTAAATTGATATTTTTAATTTTGTTGGATATATGGTCCAAAAAGCAGACAAAGCAAGCTTGTCTTAATTATTAGGACTAAAGAAAGAAGTTGACGATTATTTTAATGTAGTTAAATTAAATAATTATTTAGGCACTTCCAGAAGAATACACAAGTTGCTTATATGGTGAACCTGAATTTGCAGAGATCTGTACTATATATGGATTGAAAGAGACTGATAAAATGGAATAAATCACCGATAAAATTTATTAATATGCCATGGCTCATTTTATTTCCACAAAGAAAGAGATTCATTAAGGAAATATTTTATGGAATACAGACCATAACTATAATGATGCAGGATATTTAATTGCTAGTTTTGCTAAGAAAGCTTTAGTCACAGGAATAGATTAAGTTGAATGATGGTTGTTTGAATGTTATCAAAAATAATTATGAATAAATTTCATAATGTTTCGATTCTAGCTTCAGATACTTTAGCATCTTTGCTATCCCAACCGCTGAATAAATATGCAGCAAATCTATAATTTTTATTTGGAGGTAATGTGAATGTAATTTATTTGTTCTCTCCAGATTTCTTGATGATGAATACATTTCCATTTCTAATACATTCAATAATCTCTCCATTTTGAACTTCAATCCCTAAAGATTTCTTATCAAGATTTTCATCATTAGAAGCAGCAACAACTAATAAATATAATAATAAATTTACGTTTATCAGAATAAACAATCCACATTCCATGATCTAATCCATAATTACAATTTCCTGAAAAGTCAGTTTCTTTTACTATATCAAAATCAACTATTCCTATTCCTATGCTCTAAAATATTGAATAATTTTACTGTTTATAATGTGTCACAACAAATCTTAACTTTTAATAAGTCTTATTCCTTTGCGGTTTCGTCTAAAAGAACTAAACCTCCTTCTTCTTGTTCCTCAACAACAGCTAAGTTACCGTGTACTTCAACATATTCACTTTTGTAAGTAGAGCTAAAGTTTCTTGCTTATTCTCCACTTCCAATTTGTTAAAATTATGGATCTCCAATAACTGTGTTGCTTGTTTCACAATTACCCATTATTTTATTTAATGAATGATTAAAAATATTTTTCCAATTAAATACAAAAAGTTATTAAAGAATTATACATTTAATTCAACAATTTAATGCTTTTGAATTTTTTCAACTTACTAATAGCTAATTTTCTTTTTAATATTAGATCTATGCATCTTAATTGTAATTACTCTTCTAGTATCAAAATGATATAAATAATTTTTATTCTATTCTTTTTGGATATTTTGATTATAAATTATATTTTTTATTGTTAATAATTAAATTATAAAACAAGAATTATTTTACATTTTTTTTAATAATAAAAATTATGATAAACTTTTGAAATTCTTATTAAATTTTATTCATAATATTTTTTAGGATGAAATACAAATAAAAGAAAGTTAGAAGCTAATTTTATTTTATGTATTTTCTTATGATAAAGAAATTTAATATCTAAGTATTATAGAAAGAGTGATAGAATAAATTTCGATAAAAGATAAAGGGAATATTGCATATTAAATATTTATATATTCATATATAATAATAATGATGTAATAATGAATGTCAATATGATTTAAATAATATTTGTATGTAGAAAATCATATTATTAACTTTCATAAGCTTAGGCTACTCAAGGTTGAGCTTTAAAGAAGGTTAATATGATTATAGTGATATATTTAAAAGTGAAGGAGAATTTCCATAAGGAACAAAATGCAAAAAGGTTAATGCAAAATAATTAGATCCTTTGTTTGATGATTATCAAGTGATATATTCTGGATATTTGAGTGTTTAAGAAGATAGTAATTCATCTTTGGGATTTATTTTTTATGGAAGTTAAAAAGCCAAATAAGAAAGTGAACTCTAAAATTATCCAACATTGATATGGTTGAATGGTGGACCAGGATCATCATCTTAATTAGGAAACTTTATGGAATTAGGACCATTGTTAATGTAAAAGAATGGTAGTTTAACGAAGAATTTATATGCTTGGAATACAGAATATGATGTAATTTTTATAGATTAACGAATTGGTACAGGTTTAGCATATGTTGAAAAATAATCAGAAGTACCAAAAAATTAGAAATAAATTGGAAAACATTTTTTATATGCATTAAATTCGTTCTTATTTGATGCAAAGGGATGTGTGGAATAGTAAAATGTGAAAGGATTGACTTAATCAGCTTGGTTTATATTTGGTGAAAGTTATGCTGGGAAGTAAAAATTGATATGATTTAGATCTGCTCCAACAATAGCAAAGGCAATATTAGATAATAATTAGAATGGAGAGAAGAAGATTCCATTGAAAGGTGTAGGAATAGGAGATCCTTTTACAGATCCATATGCAGTAATAGCAGAATATGCAGCATATTCATTTAATTTAGGTTTGATAGACATTCAAGAGAGAATGAAAGTAGATTCAATATTAGCATATGGATTGAAAGAATTAAATAAAGGTAATACTTTGGCAGCAAGAGATGCTTTTGGGGAATCTTTAAACATTATAATTACACAAAGCGGTGGTATGAATGTTTATAATGTTCTTTAATATGGTTATTATGAAGAAGTAGAGGATAAAGTAGAGGAATATTTGAATAAGATTTCAATAGTGAATATATTTGGATTTAGCGAAGATTGGAAATATAAAATTAGTAATGGTGGTGATGGTCCAGTGATTTTATGTTGAGAGATGTTGTAAAGAGAGTCGAAGAAGTAGTTAAATAGATTCCATTTTTGGTATATAATGGGCAGAATGATTTGATTTGTTCAACTCCAGGGACTTTGAGATGGGTTTATGATTTGAAATATGAAAAGATTTAGGAATATCGAGAAAAGGATTTCGATGTATTAAAGATTACAGGAACAAATAAGATAGTTGGATATTAGAAGTAAGCTGGAAATTTAGAATTAGTATTAATAAATAATGCTGGACATTTGGTACCTACTGATTAGCCAGAAGCATCATTATAAATGGTTACAACATTCGTTAATAAACATAAATGAAAATGAGATTGATATAATAACAATATTGATGGATATATTTATTATTATTAATAAAAAATAGAAATGTTTGGATAGGTGGTGCATAAATTCCAAAGAAACCAGAATCATCTGTTAAGCAAATTCCTAAGAGCTGGAAATAGGTAATTAATTAATAGAAATGTAGATCAAATCCATTTGAGAATACATTGACAATTCTTGAAGACCCTGCTCATCATAGAAAACTATATCTTATTGGATCAACACATGCTTCAACTATGTTAGCCTACAGAACATAAAAATTGATAAATGAAGTCAAACCTGATAGTGTGTATGTGTAAACCAATGAAGAATGGTGGAATTTAATAAAAAATATTGATGGAATTACATCTCAATCAGAATTGAATGTCTATAATGATGTATTAAGAGGAGCTTATTAATGGGAATTGGAATCTGGAGTTAGAAATTTCAGAAATACAGTCTTCTGGGCAAGACTTTACTCTTGGTTAGGTTTAATGTAATTTTTGAAAGGTAAATAATATCTATTAATATATAATTTTAGCATTCAACAGTGATTTCCATCCATTCATTCCAGGATTAGAAATGAAATATGCTATTGAATAAGCACAAGCCCAAGGTGCTAATGTTATCTTTGGTGGTTTAGCTATCTCTAATGCTGACCTCTTATCATTGAAAGTACTTTTATGATTTAATATTATTGTATAGACTGAACCAAGGTTTGATCCACTTAGTGTTTCATTGAATTTTATTAAATTACTTAGTCAAGTAAGATGGAGAAGAGAAAGATAAGATTTAGCCTTTTAATTAGCAGTTCTTGGTGGAGAATAATTTGCTGAATCTATTGATAAATATAGAGCTTCTTGGTTTGTTAAATTATTTGAGAAATTGAGTCCTCATTAGAAAAAAATCTTGGTTGATAGAAAAGATATTGAAATTTTTGAAACTTTATATAAACATACTCCAGGGAAAAATATAGTAGCAGTTGTTAATTAATGGCACACTATGGGAATTGAAGCTCATTGGAGACATACTACTAAGACATAAATAAATACTGAACCAATAAATCCTATTGGAGATATGGATTTAGAAGCTTTAAATGAAGATTTGGTAGTGAATGATTACTTAAGATAATTCACTTCAAGAGTTACTAAAAGTGAACCAGCATCAACAAGAGCTTATATCACTTAATATTATAAGGATGTATTTGAATATGAAAGATGTAATATTTATGAATTAATTATTATAGTCAGACATGTTGAATTCGAGGGTCATAGTGATCCTCATTAATTCCATGGAGGTAGTCCATTTGAAGGAGGTTATTAACATCATCATCCATAATTACCAGCTGATGTAAGAAAATAAATTGAAGAAAATTGGAAGAAATAATATGCCCATCATCATGAACATCATTGAAATATTATTCATAAATAAAATAAAACCAATATTTTTATTATGATGATCAACATACTTGTTAGTTATAATTCAAATTTCAATTTTAGATATGGCTATTGAAAAACGGAATTATTTGTTCGTTTTTGTGTAATAATTAATTAAATGAAAACCATTTTTGTTTTGGTATTAGTAATTGCTCTTGCAACAAGTTTAAAATCCACATTTAGATAGACACCATAAAAATTGTAAGCAGAACTATAGAAATCAAATTATGGAAAAGCTCTCTTACATTTGGTTGAATTACACTCATTAGCTGGAGGTGCTGTTAGTGAGTTAGTTGATGCCATTGAAGAATTGGATAATGATTTGATTGACGGAGTATAATTATTAGAATTCAATTTCTAATAAAGAACAAATTAACACAATTCTTTAGTTGTTTAATTGAACTAATAAATTAATGATGCTCAAATTGATATCAGTAGATCTCAAGATGTTATTGAAAATTTATTAATTCCTAGAAGAGAATAATTAGAAAACAGAATTGCCAATCTCGAAGAATATCAAGAAATTAACAGAAAAAATTATGATGAAGAAGTATTAATTAGAGAATAAGAACATGAAGCATTTGAAGCTTAAGTTGCTGAATTAACTGATGCAACTGCTGCAGTTGATGATGCTCTTGCTCTTTTATAAACATTGAGCAATCCTTCCTTAGCTTAAGTAAAGAAATTCTAAAATTCACTCAAAAAAATCGAATAAAGTATTAAACCAAGATCAAAAATGGCTCCATTTTTAAAAGCTCTTATTACATTAGCATCAAATTAAAACTTCTCAGATTAAGGAATTATTTCTTAAATTGTTGATGCTTTAAATGAATTTAGAAATGCTATTGTTGATAGTATCAATGATTAAACACTTGTTGAAGCCAATGCAGTTGAAGAATATGAAGAAAGATTAGCTTAATTAGATTCTGAATTTGCTGAATTCTAAAGATAAATTAATGCTGTCAATGTTGATTTAACTGCCACTAATAGTAATATAATATATTTATTATTATTTCTTAGATAAAATTGATTAAGTCACTGAATTCCTTAATTAAAGAGTTGCTGATTTGAAATAATATGAAGCTGAATTACAATTAGAAAATGATAATTATGCTGATGAAACTCAAATTTACAATGATACCAAGAATGAATTCATTAGAGAATAATAAATCACTGAATAAGCTTTAGCTTTAGTCAAATCTGTTGATTTCAGTCATATTCAAGTTTGAGTATTAATAATCATCCATACAAAAATTAATCATTTAATTTTAATTTATTTGTGAAGAAAGAATTTAATAATGGAATAACTCAACCTAGAAGACATCTTGACATGTACAAATCTTAGAAAACAATATTCTTTACTAAATAATGTCATTCATCAATATGAATCCTCATAAATAATCAAATTTAAAAAAGTATGCTTTTTCATTCTATACATAAAAGACTTTATTATCAGATTTGTTCAATTCTTGTTTTGATGAAAGTTTATTGATTGGAGGTCAAGTTTTATAGAAGTTGCTTACAAAATTATACAACGAATTAGGACCAGAGGATAAAAAAAATGTTGAATTATTCAATCAAAGATTATAATAATTTGTTTCAATTTTTGCTGATCATTATATAGAAAGTGTCAGATTAAATTAACACAATTATAATCTTAATTATGCATAATAAATTAATAGAATTTTAGCAGATGTTAAAATTGAATGCATTTAATATGTTATTGATCATATCATAAAACAAGATTAGAACTTCTTTTAACATAAACATAAAATATGGGCTATTGCTTCATTACTTAAATTTGCTAAATCAGAACAATAAATTACTGTTACTGAGTAAGGTATTATTTATAAAAATGGTACTTTGTTGAATGTTGATATCAAAATTATTTAAAAATGGATGTTTAATATTGATAGAGCAATTTAATTTGAAGCATTTCAAATATTTGCATTAAATAGCAAAAAAGCAGCAAAACCAACATAAATTGAGTTAGATTCTATTGTTCTTTTTGTCTAATTTGTTATCAAAACATCTTATCCTAATTTTAAGAAAAATTATTTATCCAAATTAAAGTTTTTTATTGAAAGAATTAGAACAAGTTATTAAAAAGATCTTAAATTTTTAGAATCAGGTAAATCAAAGGATATTAATATAATTCAACCTATAATTAAATTCACTTAATAAATTTTTGAAATATTATATTCATAATTAATACCTGAATGTTGTTATGAAGTTTCAAGTCCTTGTTTAGAAATTTTAAAGGTGATTTATTTATATTTAGGTACTCCTGAAAAATTAGAACCAAAAAAAGGAGAAATTTATCATAAAACATAATTTTTATTAAATTATTGTTTTGAACAAGCTTATGGTAACACAAAAGTTGAATAATTAATAATTTAATGTAGTAGCAATTGGGAATCTTCTAGAACATTAGCTTATGAGATTTTATTATTATTACCAAATGAAATACAATTCTTTAGTGAATAAAAAACAAAAGAACTCTATAAGATAGCTACAATTTAAATAGGAAATCCTATTATTAAGTTTTATGAAAGTGGTTCACTTTTATTATCATTATTACTAAAAAAATATGCTAAAGTATTATATCCAACATAAAATCCAGAGATTGAATTTTTAAATTACTTAATAAATGAATTATAAGAAAAATTCAATTTATTTAAGAAAGTATTTTCAAATGATATTGTATAATTATAATAAACATTGATTCATGGATATGTATCCACTTTCTGGATTATTTTATAGAGAAACAATATTCATTAATTATAAGACAAAGAATAATTAAAATTATTTTTTATAAAATTACTTGAATTATTGAAAGATATTATTGAATTCGCTACTTAAGTAAGTTCTGAAAATGTTTGTACATGGATAATTGATGACAAATCAACCTAATAATTGCCATACTAAGTTGATTGTAGAGGACATTTTTATTAAAGTGAATTTGTTTAAAATGTATAAAAGATTTTATAAGGAAATACTTTAATTGAATCTTTAGATGATTAAACTACAGATTAAGGATCAGAAAATATATTAGTTGTTTCATTTTTCCTTATTACAAGAGAATCAGGTGTTTTCTTTTAAGAATTAGCAAAAGTTATTGATGATATGTAAGATAATTTGATTCCTAATGATTTATTGAAGAGAATTACATATTAATTTTTTCATGCTTTATTAAACATTAAACATTTAGGTTCAATAGATAGAATTGCATAAGGATTGTATGAATTATGTAAAACAATGGGAACTAGTAAAAATCCTTAATTACCTGGTTTAGTTAATGAATTAATTGATAAATTAGTAGAAGCATTTGATTAAAATTAATTAAAAAATGTATTTAGAAGATCTGCAGGTTTACCACATTTAGTTTGTTGTTTATTAAGATCTTGTTAAAGTAAGGATAAACAAACAGAAAAAGTTGTAAAATTACTATTAAAATTTGCAAAAGAAGGTTAATTAGAAATGAGAATTCATGCTCTTAATGTAATTAGAAAATTATTTATGGAAGCATGGTTAAGATAAGATCTTGATTAATTTATTTCTGAAGCATATATGTTAGCTATAGATGGATTTAGTTTTGATGATTGGAGTGTTAGAAATTCCTCTCTAATGTTATTTTCAGCATTGGCATCTAGAACTTTAGGTAAAAATACTTAAAATGTTGAATAAATTGCATAAAAATTAACTTTAATTGAATTCTTCAATAAATCCCCTTAATTAGTCTAATATTTCCAAAATAAAATTAAGGATTATAATGATTAATAATTGTATCCAAGTTTATATCCAATAGCATTATTATTATCAAGATTGGCTCCTATGGAAGGCAAATTTATCAGAAAAGTATATACAGAAACTTAGAAGTAAGATTTATTTGAATAAAAATAATTAGATTTATTGTTGCCATCTTTAATAAATTGTTTAAAGAATAAGAATTATTTAGGCAGAGTTATTCTATCCAAAGCCATTTTACCTTTTCTTTCATTTTAACAAATAACTTCTTATGTAGTTCAACTTTTAAATCAATTAGTTGACAGTAAGACTATAAAATAAAATCATAATAATGCACATGGTATTTTACTTTTATGTCATTAATTAATTAAAGATTATTATAACATAAAAAAGGAAACTCTAGATTAATATGAGGTTGATTAAATAGATTAATTAAAATAGAGTGAATAAAAGTTAATTTAAGAGATTCATCATAAGAGCTTTATAATTAGAGAAATTAAATGTCCACCTGTTTTATCTGTTTATTATTAAGTTTTAAATATTATAATCAAAAATAATGAATAATAAGATTGTACCTTATTTTTAGATAGTTCTTCAATCACTAAAAATATGATTGAAGAGTAACATTTCAATTAAAAAACCTTCTAAATTAAATAAGATATGGGTCATAGTTTATTGAGAAAGAAATAAATTTCATTTTTAGTTAAACTTGATAATTTAAATAAAAGTCATACATATTTAGAATAACTTATTAAAAATCAACTTTTAAAATACATTTCATAAAAAGAGCTTTTAGAAATTGATGATTTAGAAGTTTTGTAGTAGCTATACAAATAATACAATAATATTTTGAAAAAAAATACAATAGTGGAAGATTCCAATATAGAAATTGCCTAATTAACTTACAAATTATTAGAAGTAGTTGAAACTCCATATTTCAGTTAATGTTTAAAATAGTGCTTATAATTGTTATTAATAATTAGTAAATTAACAAAGTTTAATCATAATGAATAAATTTTAGATAGAATTAGTGAGAGATTTATAAATGATTCAGGAATTATGAAAAATATTATAAAACTTTACGGCTATGTTATGTTATAAAAACAAGAATTTTTAGATTAATTTTTGAAAATATGTGAATTATATTCACACAGCAATAATATAGATGATTTAAGAATAGCAGTAATTAAAAGTATTTGTATTGCAATGCCAAATCTATTTAATTTGAATACCCTTAAGTTATCATTAATATATTTAAGATTACTTTAAGATGAATTACCAGAAATAAGAAATAAAATGAGTAAACAAATTTGTATTCATTTATTAAATAATAAAAATAAGAACTCTACCGAATTGTATAATAATGAATATTTATTACATAATTTTTACCATTTTATAGTGTAAAAGTAAATTACAAAAGAGAATTAGGTGGAAGTAATAAAGATTTTGATAACTTAATTAATGGATAGTGAATATTATATGGTAAAGAGATAGAATCATTAATCAAAAAGAATATTTTAATACGAAAAAAGCAATAAATACATAAGTGAATTGAAGGGCAGAAAATTAGCTTATGATTTTTTAGTGTATTGTGTAAATTAAAAGATTTTGGATCAGGAATTAGTGATTAAAGAATTAAGTGAGTATGAGATTAAACATTAAAATACTGCATTAATGGAATATAAATTGAATGAGACTTAAATTAAGAATTACATTAGCAATTTAACTGAAAGAGATGATTATATATATGAGAATCTTTGTAGATTGACAATATTTGAAGAGCTATAAATTAAATTTAATCCTAATCAGTAAATATTAATATAATAAATTTTAGTAAGCAATATGAACTATATACCAAATATGAATTAAAGAAGGCAGAGTTTTCATTTAAATAATTTGATTGAATGTTATTATTTAGGATAAATTTTAATAGAATATAAATTAAATAAATATTAAAATATTATCATCATGAGCCCAGTAATTTGAAATGTTATCGATGCTTTTTGTAAAAATTATTCATATATTCATTGTATCTCATTTCATCTATCATTCCTTGATTCAATCCTGTAAAAAGTATTTCTCTTTAGGAACCTATAATTATAATAATTAAATACTGATTAATGCTTAAATCATTAAACTTAATTTATCAATGGCTTCATCATCAAAAACACTGACATACCGAAAACTAAGTACAATATAATCACTTTCTGGTAATTTTTTAATTTAAGCAATATGATTCTAAATAAAAAATTTGAATACTTTAACATTAATATAATTGATAGCTCCATTAAATCGATAGATACAAAAGGATCCTTTAAAGTGTTAAATATCAGGAAAATCATCTTCATAACCTAAGGTATCATTTCTCAATTATAAATCAGCTCCATCTTATTATCTAATACAACTTCGTTTAATTAATGAATTTTTCTAATTAAGATATAATCAATATTTACTTGTATTTCATCAGAACTTACAATAACTTCAGAAGCAGCAGCACTCATTTTTTCAGCAAATTGTAACATAGCATACATGCTTCCAATAATAGTGCTTTCAATAGCTCCATAATATACACAAATAATTGATATTGTAATTTGTTTAACTAATATTAATCTTCTCTTAGTTCTCCATAACATTTCTAAATAGGGCCAAGTTGGACACATATAAGCTGAATATAATAATATTCCACTCACAAAATAAAGTGGTATTTCTAGAAAGTATCTACTGAATAAACCATAGAATAAAATAACAGATAGACCATTTAAAATAGATGACCATCTATTCATATTTCTAACTCTAATATTTAAAATAATTAATCTAATAGATGCACAACATGGTACACTATTAAAAATACCTGCACAAATATTAGTTAAAGAAACACAAAATATTTCTTTGTCATGATCACATTTAACTCCAGTAAAATATTCAGCTCCTTTAGCACATAATAAATTTTAGACTGTAATGTAAAATGTCATTTTAATAGCATAAACAAATAAAAATAATAATGTCCAAAAATCTGGTTAGAAATGAGGGCCACTACTTTCAATAAAGGATATTTTCAAACTAACATCACCATAAACATTCTTTAAACATTTTTCAGTTGGAAATAATATACCAACCATTAATCCTGTTAAACATATTAATACAATTAATGGTAAATCTTTGTTTATTTTCCAACCAAAATAAAGTATAAAAAATATGAAAATAGATGCTCCTAAATAATAAAGATCTCCTCTTCTAAAGAATTCTTACATATTTTATATATTATACCTTAATACATTTAAAATCTATCATGATATACTTGAAATCCTCTATTTGAATGCATATCACTTAAACCAAATGCATAATCAATATATCCATTTGCTATAAGAAAAAGCAATCCTAAATAATATCCTTCAATAACATAATTAGGCATAAAATCAATTAAATGATGCCATTTCATATGACTTAGAATATATATTTGTAATCCAACCATAATAGTGACCCATGGAACTGCTTCATATCCATATTATTATACAATATAATAATTAAATCCTGCAGCTACCCAAGTTGGTGCATAGATTGAATGATTACCTTTCGATATTGTATTATTATATGATACTTCCACTAAAGAATCCATTAATCAGTCCTCCAATTAAAGCCGATGAATATGCAGCAGAAGGATTACCGCCAGTGTTGTTACCAGCATTCAATATAAATGGCATATTCATCATTGCTTATGTCATTCCACTCTTCCAATTCTCTCGGATAAAAAATAATGCTGTATTCATATTATGAACAGATAAATGACTTATTCTAGATAATGCATTTTTTATTGATAATTTTGTTTAATTTATAGATCCTTTTACTTAACTATCATGCTAATTTGATAGTTTCTATTCTTTCACATCTAATACTTGCATTTCTTGTTCTAGTAATGCAATCTTATTATCAACATTCATATTTAATATAAATATTGATAATATAAATTATTTATTTTATATATTATCATTTCTTTCATCAATCCATCCTTCCCTTTTTAACCTATTTAACAATAATAATTTAATTTAAATTATACAATTATGCTACGACCTTATCCAATTATTTTTGTTCTTTTCATCACATCAGCATTATCAAACAATAATAGTGATACTGATATTCTCTAATTCACTAATACTAGAAATTAAATATGCTTACACATTCAATATTGTAATACTAAATATCATCATCATCTAGTTGATATCACAGATTCATAAAGATAATCTCTTTTCGATTCCATTTCTTCTGAATAGGATTAAGAACCCTCAACTCAAGTCGAAAAATGGATTAATAACAGCTATCAAATCTCTTCTGATGATTATTTTATAGATCTCTAATATTACACACTTCCTTGGCTGATTATTGCTATTTCAACTTTATTTTTATCCCTGCTCTATATTTTGGTAACGATAATGCCAACGTAAACTATTAATACCATATCATAGTTCAATAATCAAATGGATTAAATCACATACAGAAGATGAATTCATTTTAAATACAAAGAGATGTCATAAATTTGGGATTGTTACCATTGTTATTTTGAATCTACTTCTTATAATCATTTCCATTATCATATTAGTAATTTTTTTTTATATTTCAGACCTATTAAAATAAAGCTATTGATGGATTAGATTATTCAAATTGTTATTTGGCTTCACCTTTTGATGAATTATTAGTACGAAATGATGAAAATTTTACTGGATATAGTATTTTATAAGCTGATTTCATTTCATTATAAAATGACTTCATAGATTTCTAATCTAATTTGAAAAAACTATATTAAAATAGAGAATCCATTACTCTACAATTAAAATAATAAGAGATTTTGGACTTTAATGATCAGTAAATTTTTATATAAGAATAGACTTTAGAGAAATAAACCTAATTCTCCTCTTCCTATTAAAACCTCTTCAAATGGTACTAATATCATCTCAGCTACAGAATCCTATTTCTCGAAAATGAAAATTGTAAATTTTCTTATTATAAAATGAATAGATTGATTACTTATTGTCTTCAAAAGACGATGAAAATCATCTAACTTATCTTGAATCTTATGAATTAGTAAAAAAAGAATAAAGTGAGATGTATTTGGCAAGTTAAGTGGACGTAATCCAAAATTATTATGGATAGATTTTTTAGAAATTTGGTTCTTTGGAGAATTCATCATTAACTCTAAGGGATTCCAAATTTACATCATTATTCATTAAAGCTAAGTAATAATTATCATAAATCAATAACCATATATTAAATTATGCTAATAAATTTGTTGATTTCCATTAAACATTAAGTAATGATATGAATTATTACTTTCGTTCCACTATGGGCTTTTTAATCACTTTAATCATATTCAGTTTCATTGAAATAAGTTTATGGTTAGGTTATCTAATAAATAAACGATTAAAAATTAAAAAATATATTGATGTCCTTTGGTTTTTATGCAATCTTATATTAGTTGGAATCTCAATTATAAATATTTTCTTATAATCCAATTCATAAATATCAAATAAACTATGTATCTATTTTGATAATATTATACACAATGAGTAATTCTATGATAATCAAAATATAATTGAATTTTCAGAAGCTAAAGAAAGTATTCATTCTTGTCTATATGGTGATGGAAATATCTATTAATAATTAAATTTTGTATCAAGATTAAAAGATATTAAAACATTTACCATTAATGAAAATGAAGTCAAAGAAGAAATTTAAAAACTAAATTTAAATTAACCCATATATATCTAAAAATTAAATAATAACTCTCAAACTATAACTTAAATTTTAGATGGTACATTTATAGATTTAAATATATATGAAATGAAAGAGTTCTAAATTTTAATTGATGATTTTAATTAATATAAAGAATTAGAAAATTGTGCAGAATTATCAACAACATTATGTTCTGATGGAGGTTATCCAAAAAAAAATGGAGAAATCAATGATTCTCAAATGTGTTGGCATCCTTCATATCTTATTAATAAATATTCTGCATCATGTTGGGATTAGTAAGATGTATTTATAAAAATTAAATTACATTTCTAAAGTTAAGCCTAAGGATGGATTAAATTTTAATTGTTAGAATCTTAATTTGTATCTTAAAACTTAGATTTAAATTATGAATTAAATCAATATATTATTAGTCATGTATAATTTATTGATTAATAACAAAAAACAATATCTAATTTGAATAGCTTACTAAAAGCAACAAATTGTACATTCATTAAAGTAATTATTTATTATTAATAATAATTTAGGAAGACTTTAATAAAATGTTAGATGGAATGTGTGCAGTATATTCATACTATCTCGGTAAAATTTCAATACTCATGATTATCATCATATTTGCACTATTCCTTTCCGTTTTATTAAATTGTCTCACTTCTCTAAAGGTTTCTTAGATGGAAACATACGAAGAATATGCTTCAACCAAAGTTATTAATTTTGCTGGGTCAAGTAGATTTAAAGCATCAATTGAAATTAATAAAATAATGCAAAATGAAAGTCCTATGCATGTTAATAGTACATAATAAGAATTCAAATGAAACAATTCAAAACTTAAAATTAATCTGCATTTTTTCCTAAATTTTATTCATATATCAAGATTTGTCTTTATATTTCCTAATTTTCTTCTTAAATTTTTTTACTATCAATTGATAATTTTACAAACTAATAAATTTATTAAATAATTATACATGTTCTGTTGTTCTCTATATTAATTGATCTTTTAAATTTGAATTTTTCTCAAGAAATTCATTTATTCTCTGATTAAATATTTCATGGTTTGATGATTAATCATAAGTTAAATGATTTATCATTTAAATACTAACATGTTATTAAATATCATTTTATAAAACCAACTTAATTTTTGTTTAAGCTTTGATAAATTTCTCAATAGATTTTTCATATTCTTTAATTTATTATTGATATTCTAATTTTTTAATAAGATATGGCAAATCTTTTTAAGTTGGTTAACAATATTTTTCTTTCATTTATCTTTCCTTTTTTAAAAATGTGTTCATCATATTTTACATTTTTTCACAGTAAAAAATGAGTTCCTTAAATTATAAATAATGTTCTTTAAATTTGACTATTTCTTCATTAAAACACTATTCATATAAAGCAAGATAAATCTCATTTTAATTACAATCAGGAATTTTAAGTTCTTAATAAACTAATGGATAATCAGGTAATTTCTCCCATGATTCCTTTGGTTCATAGATGTGTTTATTTAAATCAGAAGGTAGTTTTTGTTAATCTTTAGAATTTGCTTCTTAATTTTAAATTGACATTCCTATATTTGAATTTTCATTTGACTATTCTGCAGATAATGTTTAGGAGATATTTTAAGAATCTGGTATTTCTATTTTTGGTTATTTCTATTGCTTCTCTTTTTATTATTGTATAATTCGATTAGCATTATTTGGATCGAAGTGAAACCTCATTATTCAAATTTAAATTTATTTGATTTATTGTATTTCTATCTTAAAATTAAAACAAAATATATATTTATATCTATATAAAGTATTAATTATATAATTTCATTACAAAATGGAATGTCTCATCTACAAGAGTTAAAGTTATAAATTTAATTAATTAGTTTTATTTTATTTATTCTAAGAATTGCTAATCTAAATTAATAATTTGATTGCCTCAATTAGAAGATCTGTTTATGAATATTCAAATTGATACAAAATATCAATAGCAGTATCAATTTATTAACTTGCTTTTTCATATTATTGTTAAATAAATAATAATTAGCCATTTAGTAAAAGGATATTGGCATATTTATAAGATTGATATTAATTGCATTTTTCATATATTGAAATTGCTTTATTATAATTTATTGATGCATTATTATAATCCTTTTTATAAAAATATAATTAACCAATATCTGAATAGATATCTGCAATGCAATGATGATTTTAGAATAATCTGATTGCACATTATAAAGCACTTTCATATAAATTTAAAGCATCATTAAAATAACCATTTTCCATTAGATAATGTCCAAAAATAGAATAAATAATAAAATAATAAGGATGTGATGATCCAAAATAAGAATCAAGTATTTAAAGAATCTATTCAAAATATTAAAGAGCAGTATCTAAATTATTCATACTAATTTATATAATTTGTAATAAAGGTTTAATTTAACCAGGATGTCCAGATTTAGTAAAACAAAGAGCTTTGTTTGCATTTTCACAACTTTCCTCACATAATAAATTAGCAAAAATCTCATCTCCTTCTTTTCTCATTAAACATAACTCCAAAGACCATTTGATTGATTAAAATAACTATTCTTAATTCATTATATTTCTTCTCTTTGATTTTCTAGCTATCTTTGAAGTATTCAAATAGTATGACTTTTATTGAACATTGAATTAAGGTTTCTCTTTTAAAGGAAATGATTCTTTAAATATTCCATTAATTAAAGTTGGAGATATTGTAAAGGATATATCACATTATTATTATAGACAATATAATAACATACCTTTAAATTATATAGAAAATCTAGATGAAACATCAAAATTGTATGAATAATCATACCAAATTTACTTTTATATTATTTATATCCAAAATATGTCAGATTCTTTTCCAACTCCCAATAATAAATTTAAAAAATCTAAACAACTTTCATTAATTAATTTAGATGATAATTCTAACACAATATTGATATCTTAAACATCTTTTGTTGTTAATTCTTAAATCATAGAAAATTCTAAAATATTAGATTGATCACTTTACAATTTTTGAGATAACTAATATTTTAGATTTTTCATTAAATCTGCAATATTATTTCTCAATACTTTCTTACAAACTCTACTGATCATATCACATATACATAAATCTTTAATATGTTATAATTAACACATTTAACAAATTTTACCAATAAATTTTATATTAATACCTGATTAATGTAATTGTTCACTTAATTAAATTGAATCAATTGGTAAAAATTCAAGAGATTCAAATTTATTAATAATATCATGTAATAGTTGATTTTATAAATAGTTTGATGCTTATTTTAATTCATTATAATCTGCCTCAATTTCAGAAAGTTTTATCTATTTTAAATATGAGTCTGAATTTAAAGGTTTATTCCAACTCCTTACAAATTCTGGTCTCAATCTAGAAGTATTTTATAAATTCTCTTATATAATTACAGGCATCAAATCTCCACATTTCAATAAATAATATAAAGATAAATTCTAAGGTGGAAATTCATTAATATTTTATTCATTTTCTATCCATCTTAATTCAATATAATCTTTATTGATTTTATGAACTTCTTAAAATAAACTCATCGGTATTAAATTACTAATTAATTCATCTTCAAAAAATTTATGTTATTTTAAATTTAATCTAATTCCTATTTAATTCATATATTATTAAATAGCATTATTAGTAATAAATTGACCATCAAAAGTTGGACCATGTATTAAAGTAGTGTCATCTATTGGTGGAATTGCTAAAACAAAAGCTCTAATTCCTTTATAATCTATTATACATGATAATGGAACTCTTAAAGGATAATTTGATTCCTCTTATATTAAAAGTTCAATCTAATCAGCTAATAAAGATAAATAACGAAATTCTATCTTAAATATAATTAATTTATACCATTTCCCAATGCTTTAAGTTAAGATTCTTCATAAATTTAAATTTCTTATTTACCCTATTTAGTCTGAATTTCTTATGATTTTAATTAACAAAATGATAATTTTATGAATAATCCATCATAACAATAAAAATCATCTCCAAAATCAATTGTATTATCTTATTAACTATACATTATATATTTATCTTCATTTAAACAATCTGTTGGTTTTATTGTTTTCATTTAATTAGGCAAACATAATTCATCAATAATAGTTTAACAAACATCCATTGCATGATCTCTCATTCTTCCTATAGATTCATGTAAAACAAAACTATTTGTTATACATTCCTCAATTGTTTTTGGATCTTTCATATTTGCTAATTCTATTGCTTATAAATAATTATAATTCCATGATGTTTTTATTTTATTTCTAACTATATTCTTTCTTTATTCTTCTTAAAACAATAATAATTATTCTTATTTATTTTAATCCTCTATTCTTTTTTATAATATTTTATTTTCTTTCTCTAATAATTATTCCTTTTCAATTCTACTCTTTAATTCAGATTCATGAATCTCTTTCTCTTTTTATAATTATATATATAATTCTTCTTATTTTTATTATTACTCAGATCTTTATTTTTCTAATTGTAATTAAATCTATTAGACTTCCTTTTATTAATTCTCTTTCTCATTTATATCCTATTGTAATTGAATGCTATTTTTTTATTTTATAATTTCAGATTATTATATAGAAGGCTACTATGCTAATGATTATTATAGTTAACTTTAAGTTTATTAATCTTATTATTGATATTTTTCAGGATGCTTCACTTTATCAATTATTTGAGTAAATTCTTTTAAAGTTTCTGGTTTTGAAAATGCTATTTCCCATATAATTATTTCCTTTTTCTTTGTTATTACTATTGGTTATTATGCAGCCATTAAATCTCTACCATAACTACTGTTAACACTCATATTTGTGCTTCTATTTTTTATTTTAGATGGATATATTGAATCTTTTGCCATAAATGTTATTTCTATTGAATTTTACTTTTTTGGTTTTTCTGGTGGTCCTATATATATTATATTTTCTATTATAACTGATATCTTTGGTTACATTTTACTTAATTCATTCATCTCTATTTTTCATAAATCAAATTTTAACTTACATTTTGGAACTTTAAAATAACTTAGCATTCCATTTTATAGTTAAATAATTCTCTTATTCCAAAACATCTTAGAAGTGGATCTCTTCTCTACTTAAAATACATTTGAATTATCTTGTATTACAGGTTTATTCTTTGGTTCAATCTATTATGAAGAAATTGAATTATTCATAACAATTATATAAATAAATAATTATAAAATATGTGTTAACAATTCTAAAAATTAGAATAAATTAGCATTAAGTTTTGTTATAAACATCTATTTGTAATAAATTTATTAAATCTTTTTTTACTATATAAGTTGAATACATTATTGATGTTAAATTATTTTATTGTTAAATAATTTAATTTATATCATCAAATTTGCTACATTAAAAAGAGTTTAAGAATATATAGTAGAAAAATCTTCACAATTTTAAAATAGATTGATTTAGAAGCCAGAATAAATAATCTCTTTCAAAATGTAATGATGAAATAAACAAAACTTTTTTTTTTAAGAATACACATTTAATTAATCAATTTTTTAAAATAATTAGGCAAGTCAAAATTCATCTTCACTATCATTATATAACTACTTTTTTATAATTGAACCTTTTTATTATTATGATCTTATAACATTTTGATGAAGTGGTATATCAGATTCTTAAGACTTACTTTATTGAGATATTTATGAAACTGGCCTTTTAGTTTAAAAGATAGTTTATATCTTTTCTGTTTGAAAGTCTTCTGAATCTTCAAAACTATTTTTTCTTTTACTTGAAAGTTATTATTATTAATATTTTTATTAAGGTTGTTATTGTTATTATTATTATCTTTATTATTATTAGGATTATGATGAGGATACTTTTTTTTCTAGTGGTAATATGGATGAATTTTAATCTTTTTCTTCAAAATTTTTGATAATATTTTCTGATTAAATCTTCTATAAATATTATGGTTCTTATTTTAAAGATTTAGTCATATTTTATTTTAAATCTTTGACATTAGTTTAAACTTTTTAATGAATATCAAATTCTTCTTCTGAATTATTTGATTAACTTGATGGTGGTGATTTAGGTTATTAAAATCGAACATTTCTTTATTCAATAATAGATTTTCCTTTAAAATCTCTTTATTATTAGTTTTTCTTTGTAGCAGTTTCTTCTTAATCGAATGCATTATCAGAATCAATTTATAAAACATTAGGTCCATCATGTTTTTTAATTTCTTCTAAATCTGGATCATTAATTTTGTTATCTTATTTAATATCAGATAATAAAATAGTTCCATTTAATGAAGTTAAATATTCTTTTAATTCTTTCTAGAATAATTAATTGAATAAATGTTACTTCACTTTTGAATTGTATTTCATTCATGTTGACATTCAATACTTCTTTGAGTTTTCTTTCTAATTCATTATCTAATTAAATATTTCTAAAATGATCCATTAATTCTTTAGTGATTTAAGATTTCTTCTATCTAATTGATTTAACTAAATGATGAAATTCTTTTTCTTCTTATAAAAAGGCAGCTTCTTATTGATTATCTATAATAATAGAGGGTTCTTTTTAATTATCATCACTTTTAGAATCATTAGTAACATCCTCTTGTATTTCTTATTAAACATCTTTAGCATCGTAAATATCATCAGCAATTTCACTGATTTCATCTTCTAAAGGTCCTGCATTATAACTAAAATTTTCAGGTGGTGGTGTTGGTAATCTTTCTTCTATTTTAACAGGTTCTGGAATTTTGAGATTATGAATTCTATGTTCTATTTATTCAATTTTATCTATAATTTCTTATGGTCTATGTACTGCAATATAATTTTATAAGGCTTCCATTTATTATTAAAGTAATAGATTTTTTTATTCGAATTCATATTTAATTTATCTCATTTGATAATCATCCATTTTTTCATCTTGTAAATCTTCATTTTCTGAAGAATGAGATTCTTCTGCTTATTAATGCATAAATTAAGCTTATTACATAGTTTATAACATGAAATCTTATTAATTTTAATTATTAATCATGGAATTGATTTATTATTGCAAAAGTCAAGTTTAAACTGTAAGTAATGTTTCTTAGAAATTTTATTTAGGTTTTTCAAATTTATCAATATGATGTCTCTAATAATGAGCTTCAAGTAAAGGAATAGAAAGAAAAGCTTTACCAGTACAATATAAACATGCATAAACTGTTTCATTTTTAGAAGCATCTTATTTAATTCTTTTAAACTCTTTATTAGCAGATGATAATTTAAGTTTAAGTTTGGTAATATGATTTTTTGATTATGCTAAATGAGATTCTTTTGAAGTGATTTCATTATCAAGTAAGAATTCTTATTTGAATATTTAGTCAATGGTTGTTTCTTAATACTATTTAGTATATTCAAAATAGAGTAAAGTCATTTAGATGAGATAGATTAATTTTAAATACTTGATTGTATTGAGAGAGTCTTTAAACTCACGTTCAGTTGTAAAGCCTCTTAATATTGAAAATGAAATTACTATTGTAATGGAATAATGAAAGATTGTAAAGTTTCTAAATCATTATTCCTTTGCATCAATTCAAAGTCTAAATTTTATAAGGATTGAAGATTAAATTTATTGTTTCTAAGTGTGTTAGGTATAAACATATAAGTAATCCAATTTTGAATTATATTATATATATATATCTATATATTTTAATATTTCAATATTTTTATCTACGAACACCTGCTAAACATGCTCTATAAATATTCCTAGGATTTTCTGGGAACATATCAGCATGTATTCTTAAGTCTTCGATGTTGTCTAAATAATAAAATATATTTATTATATCTACCTAATTCTCCTTTTTTAGTCCACATAGCTTCTGCTGTATATCTTTTGCACATATCTTCTGCTTCCTATCTCAATACAGGATCATTAACTCTTCCGGTAGCATAATCACATCCCTTCCAACAAATTTAAATTGATGGATTGTACCATGAGAATACATCTTAACACATTGCATAACATGTACCACCATTATATCTTAGAATTTGACCACCTTTAAATTATATATGAATTTAAACCTGTTGCCATTAAATTGAATATATAAATATAATTAAAAGTGATGTTCTTTAGATTTAGATTAATTTATAGAAATATATCTATATAATATAATATTAATTATCATACTCCTTAAGGGAATTTCATCATTTCTAATTCTTTTATAATCTCCTTAAAAGATGGTCTCTTTTCTGGATCTCTATCCCAGCATCTTTTAGTTAATCTACCAAACACTTCTGGAGTCTTTTTAGGAATTGTTGGTCTAAAATCATTATTTAAAACATCTAATGAAACCTACAATCCTGTGATATCTATATAATAAATATATATTCTATATTACTTCTATATGGAGGCTCTCTAGCTGCTATTTCCCATAAAATTATTCCAAAACTAAATACATCAGCTTTTTCAGTATAAATTTATCCTGCTATTACTTCAGGTGCCATCCATTAATATGTTCCAATCTTACTTGTCATATAATTTGATAATGTTCTAGTCCATCCAAAATCAGCTAATTTAGTTCTGAATGCTTCATCTAATAATAGATTAAGACTTTTTAAATCTCTATGTAAAATTGGAGGATTAAAAGAATGTAAATATAAAACACCTTTTGCAGCATCTAATGCCATTTTTCTACGATCTTCCCAAGTTAAATGAATATCATGATTCTATATCACCTGCCATAATGATCCTCTTTAACAATATTCTAATACTATTGCTAAATTAGGTGGTTTAGTACAAGCACCTAAAAACATTACAATATTTGGATGTCTAAGTGCTTCCATAGCATGACATTCTGATAAAAAATCTCTTATATGATTTTCATTCATTCCATCTATCTTAAACATTTTTACAGCTACTGTTGTTTCTCTCCATTTTGCTCTATAAATTACTCCGTAACCTCCTTCACTTATTTATTTCTCTAACATTATATCATTAAAATCTATATCTAAACTAGATTAAAATATTCTATGTTTTATAGGTCTTTCTGGGGAAATCTCTAAAGCTGATATATCAAATTTAGATTATTATTTTTTTATTTATCTCTATAGATAGGATTCAGTTGTCTATACTTTTTAATCTTTTACTTTCTTTTTAGATATTAATTCATTTTTCATTCTATCATATTTTTATTATAATTATGCATTCTATTATTTTAGAATTTCCTATTCATTTCTATATTTTTCAACTTCTTCATTCAATTTATCTTATTCCTTATTTAGATTATCATTTTCATCTAAAATAATCTCTAAATAAGAAGGTGATAATAAAATAGAATGAAAATTACCACATACAATTCTTTAAGTCTCTGGAACTGTAAATAATAATTTAGGTAATATTATTCCTTTACTATTTAAACTTGGTTATCCAGTCAATTATCCATAAATATTAGAACCCCATCCGTATATCTATTTATAATCTGCAGATAGAGCTAAACAATGATTTCTACCTGCAGATATCTAAGATATTAATGGCAATCCTAAAATCTTGATTGGAAGATCTGAACTACTTAATTCATTACCTAATTAACCTAATATATTATCTCCCATAGAATAAACTTCACCTTTACTTGTTAAATAGATTGTAAACATTTCACCCATCTTCATATCTAAAACACATTATTAATTGTTGAATTCATCCAACATTTTAATCTATGTGGGTTATTTATAATAATCCTTATTTGATTTACAAACACCCCATAAATAAGGTTTTCCACCTTCTATTAAACAACCTGAATGAGCTAAACCACAACTAATCTTTTCAACTTTAAAATGAGATAAATTTTAAATTAATTTAAATTCATTAATTGTCTAATTTTCTTAATGTCCCAATGCATATGATTCACCAAAACCACAAGAGAATATTCTATTCTTATTTGTCAATATTAATGTATGTAATGCACCACATGCAATCTATTGAACTGCTTCATCATTTTATAATAATATCTAACATTAAATATCATTATTATTATTCTTTTATTTAATCTTCTCTTTCATCATAACGATCTATTCCATAATATTATCAATAGATGAAGATCTCTCCTTCAATCCTGGAGATGTAGATTAATCACCTTCATTTCCACTTTTCATTCTCTTATGTCCTTATTATTACTCTCTTGCCTTTACATTACTATTACCAAATGGTAATAATCCATACACAAGTGTAGGTTAACTTATGTTATCAAAACTACCTAAACCTAATTGTCCTTTTAAATTCAAACCCCAACAATAAACTTCTCCTTTTGCTGTCAACATAAACGTATGTTCAGCACCACAAATTACACTTGTTATTCTCTAATCTTTAAATATAGGATTCTATTTTATTTAGCTATTCGATTCATATCCCAATTAACCGAATTAATTATCTCCAAATCCTATTACTTCATTCTTATTATTCACTATTATTGTGTGATTTTCACCTGCTGAACATAATGTTACTCCCTAATAATGAGGAGTTATATTTTTATTATTCTTCAATAATTAACCACAACTATTCAAACCTACATTCAACATTATTCTTACCCCATGAATACAATTATGTTGTATCTAATTATAACTATCTTGGAGATTTTGAAAAGTCACTGTATGATCTAGGTGGTCTCACTTCCTTTTCCTTATATTATTTCAACATTTTCCTTGATTCTGTCAAGTCATTTAATTTCATATTATTTACTTTATTTTTAAAATTCAAATTTTATTATATTGTTAGTTTTATTTATTAATTATTCATTCATTAACTCAACATACATTTTATTCATATATATATAATCATTTCCTTCTTTTCAATTTATGTTATTTACATTTCTCATTATTAAATTTACTCACCTAATCTTTAATTCATCCTCTTTATTTCTCTAAAACTTATCTCAACTTTTTTTATTTTAATAATTTATTAAATATAATCAACCCATAAGAACAGTCATTTATGTGAATATTATCTTCACCATGTGGTTTTATTTCAAAATTAATATTTAATGATTAAAAATCAAAGAGACTTAATGGAATTTAAATTTTCACTTCTAATTGCAGATTTTTAAGAGAGAAAAATGATTTTATTGATTAAAAGAATCTTAAAAAGATAAAACGAACTTTTTTGTTTGTACAAATAATAAATAATTATATTCTAATTTGATCTTTTGAATATAAGGATTCTAAATTCTATGAAAATTAATATTATAAAAATAATACATCATATTTTAGTAGAATTTTGTGCTATACAAACCCTATTATCAAAATATTAAAATTATGACTCAGAAAATTCTTTAATCATATAAGGTATTGTCTAAATTATGATTAAACTATGAAGGGTTAACAATTAATCTTTTATATAGAAATAAACATGTATTCATCTTAGAAAACCTATGTTTATCTTTTTATAGCTTTAGGCATTAAGTCATTTTTTATTACAATATGTCGGTAAAAATCGATTCAAATTGATCATTTTAAAGATTGTATTAGAAAGCAATAATATTTAAATGCATTGAAGATATCAAAGAAAAATTTTTGGTTTTAGTCAATTAAAATGATTGAATAGAATTTCTTAAAAGAATTAGAGAAATTATAAGCAAAAGAATAATAATTTGGATGAAATTTTTAAAAGGAAGATCAGTTCTTTAATTGGACAGAAATAGGAGATATTTTATTATACTAGTATTTACTATGATAGGACAGATCATTATATAGCCAAATTACAAAGAGTAATGTGGATGATTGTTAGAGAAAAATACATAAATGATATTTTGGTTTTTGATGTCAAACTTATAAGGAAATTTAAATTTTAATATTTAGGATGTCGATTTAGAATTTTGGAAATATTTTATATAGAAAAATAATCACTATAGAAAATTTAATGTTAGAAAATTACCAAATATTCCTAGGAAAATACTAAATACGAAATTGCTTGAATTTATTGATGTATTAATAAAAAGAATAAAAATTACAAGAAATTAGAGATTAACTTAATCAAATTGATATCATGAAGCTTCTAAAATAACAAAAAGATGAACTTATTAATAGAAGGTATTTTTGGAATGAATTAATTGAAAAAGTATATAAATATTGTGAATGTTCGACTCATTAAAAAGCATATTCATTATATTAGCCAGTCACCTTCTTAAAATCATTGAAACTTTTAAATAAAGCCCAGTTGAGTGAGTCAATAACTATTTTGTTAGATTATGATATACATTATTAATTATGAATTAAAGTAATTAAAATATAGTGAATAGACATGGATTTCAGTGCAAAACAGGAATAAATTATTATCAAATTGGAATTGTAATTCTATACATTGGACATTACATGATAATCTTATTTCAAACCTTAGATTATGTAAATATATTAATTCAAATTTATAAGAATCAACTCTGGATTTTGGTTTCAATTTTTTCTTTTCTTATCTCTTTATTTTGGTTTATTACTACAAGAATCGATCCTACTGATCATGAGATTTATATTCAATATAAGCTGAGAGACAAAAAGTAATAAAATAATAATTGTGATAGAGTCAAATATGAAACAAAATTGAATTGTTATTGTAAAGTTTGTCAAGCTTATGTGAATACTCCATCTAAACATTGCAAACAATGTAATAGATGTACAGAACTATTTGATCATCATTGTATATGGTTAAATAATTGCATAGGGTTAAGGAATTATAAATATTTCTTTATATTAATAGTACTTTTAGAACTTTATTTAATTACTGTATTAATAATTTCAATATTTGTTAATCAGATATTCAGCTATGTATTTATGGGAGTGACTATAATTTTAATAATTCCTATTACATTTTTAGTTATTCTGCATATTTATTTAAAATTTAAGAACATGACAACATATGATTATATTTTGAGTAAAAGGAAAAGTTAGTAGAAATCATCCAAAAATAAATAATAAGATAAGTTCTAATAAGAAGGTACATAAAATTAAACTAATTTACAAACTAATATAATTTCTAGAAATTATATGTAATAAACAAATTTGAATGTTTAAATTGCAATACCAAAACCTCCTAATATAATAAAATAGGGTATAGATTGGGATTAAGAGGAAGCAGATGTAGATGAAGTGGAGAGTTATCATGCAAAAGAACCATTACCATTACCTAGTTAAAAAAGTAGTGCAAGATAAATGGATTCTTAATGCAATTCAGGACATAGAAGAACTTGTCCTAATACTTTAAGGTATTTTATTTATATACATATTTTATTGTAGAGGAAATGCTTCAACAATTCAATTAACTGAACATAAACCAATAAGATCTTTGTTTAATGTTAAAGATTTTTAATCAATTATTGAAAATTAAATGATGAATAATGTGAATGAAGGATCTATCATTCATTTTGATTCAAAAAACTCATAAAAAACTGACTAAATAGATATCAATATATGATAAATTTTGAAATTTATAAATCCACTTCTATTATACATTATTTTTTATGGCTTCTTTTATTATTTAATTATTTATAAATAATGTAGCAAAATGAAAATGATCTTCAATAAAATGAAAATAATCAATAAAATCAAAGTGATTTATTAAAAGATAAATAATAATTAAACGAATAATAGGATTAAAATAATAAAGAATCTTAAGAAAATCAATAATAAACTCATGAAACTGAAAAATAGAATGACTAATTAAATGTTACTTCTTAATTTCCAAATAATGAATAATAAGAAAATACGAAATAAAAAGGTAATTTAGGTACTGATTAACAGGAAACCAAAGAGAATATTAATGATTAATAAAAGGAATCTATTGAAAAATAAGAATAACCAGAAAATAAATAAGAAAATATAAATTAAGATGATTCAACAAAGTAACAATCTAATAATAATTAAACTATATAAAATAATTAAAATAATTAACTATCAAATGGAAATGAAGTTAAATAAGACATTGAACAAGATTAGACATAAAAAAATCAAATGATTTAATAAAATTAATTATAAATTAAAGAATAGAAATAATAAGAAAAAATAAAGGAAGAAAATGATTTAGAAGATTAAAGTTAAAGAAAAAACTAAAAAAAAAAAACTACTAAAAGAAAAACTACAAAAATTTAGATATAAGAAAATTAAGAATAAAACAATTCATCAGAATTAAATACAAATAATGTTCAAGAGTAGAATTAAAACATTTAAGAAAATAAGGAAAAAGAAGAAAATGAATAAAATTAATAATAAAGTTAGTAATAAATTGATGAAGAAAAGTAAAAAGAAGAATAATAAAAATTATAAGAATAATAAAAATTATAAGAATAAGAATAATAATTAAAATTATAAAGATAATTATTAGCTGAGAAATTTTTAAAGAGCTTGATATTTCCAGTTAAAAGGATAAAAAATAATAAAAGTAAATAATTAGATTTAAGCTTTTAAATTGAAAGTGAAAAATATCAAATTGAATAAAGAGTTTGTAAAAGTTCAAAAAGATATTAAAAAGAAAAAAAACCTAGAAATAAAAGCAGTATTAATAAGGAATTAATTGAATTTTACAATAAAATAAATCCTCAATAACAAAAAAAACAATAAGTAATGTCTCCCAATACTTTACAAAGAATAAAAAAATAATAAGAGATAGATTAGATGAAAAAAGATCATGAAAGGTTTGAAGAATAATAAAAATAGTAATAAAATGCATTCTCTTAGCCATAGAAAGAAAAAAAATAAAAAAATTAAAATAAATAAAGAGCTTCAACTTAACCAAAAAAGAAATTAGAAGTTATAGTAAGAAAGCGTAAAAAAATAAAGATTAGAAATGGTCTAAGAGAAAGAATGGCTATTGATAAGGACAAAGTTTCTTAATAAAAAGCTATAGATTTTATAAGAAAAATGTAGTAAAATAGAATGGAAGCAGAATAAAAGAGATAAGAATAATTAGAAATATTAAGTCTAAAAATTTCAAGTGAAATAGAAAATTTAAGATAGGGTAATCAAAGATATCGATAAGAATAATAATAATAGAAAAGAAAGTAAGCACTTGAATAAATTACGAAACAAGAATAAAAAAGATATGAAACAATGATGGAATAATAAAAAAATGAAAAATTTGTTAGATAATTGAAAGAAAAGTCTGCTGTAGCTAGTCATTATAGTGTAAAGAAATTAGCATTAGGTTCTCCATCTTCTTTATATACAGAATTAGAAAATGGATAAATCTAAATAGAATAAAATATGGATACAAATAGAAAAATGAATGAAAATCAATTTTTATTAATTGAGGAATAAAAAAAAATCATCAAAGAAAATAAAAACTAATAATAAAATTTATTACATTTTCCTAAAGTTAATATGAAGAAGAATTTTGAATAAGTTAATAAATATCTTGCAGAAGAATCAAAAGAACCACTACCTGAAATTAAACCTAAACAAAAGAAGGCTTGGTAAATTGAATAAGAATTAAAACAAAAAAAATCTTAAAATAGCGATTAATTTAAGGAATGATTATAAATTTATAAAATTAATAATTATAATTAAATGATATAAAGTAATACTAAATTCATTATTATAATAGTTTTTAATCTTCATTATAAAAGTTTGAAAAATCCGAATTTTATTCCAGTTGACCATTCTGCAAAATCCGAGTTTAAATTCTTTATTTTAATCTCCTTATATAATAGTCAATACATTTTCTTGGTATTACAAATTTATTCTACATCAAATCAAAAATATCTACAAAATGAACAAATATTATTTATAATATTGGTTTTTTTATAAAATTTATAGGATTTTTCTCTAATTTGATTTTAAATTCAATCCTTTTTAAAGTATGCTACAGAAAAACTTTGAAATTGCGGAATTAAGTAATTCATAGTGTAGAAAATTATTAATAAAAATTTTAGGTTAGAGGGTTTTAAAATATAATAGAGATCTCTGTTTTTGACATATTTTATTTTATTTCACTAAATAGATTCTGTAGATTGAAAAATGTTTCGATTGTATATAAGTTTATATTGTTCTCCCATAATTATGATTTATTTAAAATATCCAATATCAAATATTGTTCTTGTTTAATATTTGTCTTATTTTCAAGTAAAGCAATAAAAATGTTTATTAATTCAATCAAATTCTAAACGATAAATACTATGTAGTTGATCATCAATAAGAATATTAAAATATAAATATGATGCTAAATTATGATGATGATTTTTTTAATAGTAGATAAAAGAAAGAATTTAGAATAAATGCTACAATCATTATCTCTATGATGTAAATAACAATTTAAGCAGTTATTATGGTAATAAATGGTATTTCACACTTTTGTATTTTATATTATGCTGGATCAAAACATACTCCTGCAATAAAATATCATTATCATTTACATAGATTATTTAATCCAATCTTTTTACATGGAGGAAATGGTCATCTTTTATCTAATTTACTTAGTTAATTATTATTGTGTTACTCATATGAAAATAGAAATGGAACACAAGATTTCTTATAACTTTATTTTTTAGCTGGAATAGGTGGTAATATAGTTAGTGCACTCTATTTTCCAATAGCAACAGGTGTAGGAGCAAGTGGAGCAATTTTTGGATTTATGGGATATTTATTAACATATTTGATAAAAACAAAATAACCTTAAGAAAAGTATTATGGTATATTAATTGTACTTTGTATATAAATACTCTTGATATTTGAACCACATAGTCATGTAGATTATTCAGCTCATTTTGGAGGATTTTTAGTAGGAATTTTATGGTATTAAAAACAGAAGGCATTAATTGGAGTTTTGTTATTGTTAGGATGTGTCTGCATTTTTATGATAGATGTACCAGATTAAAAATACTGTTGATTATATAGATATTAAATTTGTCATTTTGTTAAAATTAAATTTAAGGTTTGAATAAAGGAATAAGGATGGAAAGTCTTATTAATTATATCAGATTAATGTACTATGTTATTAAGCATTGATTTAAATCACTTTTATGTTTTTTTAATTTTTGGTTATGCTTATGTTCCTGCTCTGAAACCATTCTTAGCTCTTCTAGCAATTGATTTCAAATATCTCATTCTTCCTGTTCCTGTTGATCTTCTTCTGGCGACCTTCTCTCCCCATCCACTATCTAAAAATTTAATTTATTTATTTACAAAGTCTTAATCTAGCAGCTGGATAACCACATGATGCACATCTATTTTTTTAAATATGGAAAGTCTATCTACCACATCTTTTACAAAATGTATGTGTCTTTTAATGTCTCTTACCGATTGCTGGAGTACCTCTTGCCATTTAATTTTTTAATAAAAGATTTAATTAAATAAAAAACTCATCACATTGTGACAGTATCCATTTTGATATTTGAATTTATTTTATATACATTCTATCTCCATCAAATATTTTGATGAATATCTAATACAATTATTTAGATTGTTAATTTAAATGTACAATTGTGAATAATACAATAATTTTTTAGAAGTATTGAAAGCAAATATAATAATATATTATATAAAGATAAATAATCATAGTACCTAATTATTTCTATAATTCCTATTACAACAATATTTTAATATATCAAGAGAGAGTTCTTTTCATTTTATTTAATTATTATAATGATCATAAAATCATTTTTTTTAAATATAATATATATTTCACTCAGAAATCTTCTATTTAAGCTTTGTCATTAAAATATTTGCCATGGTACTTCTCATCCCTCTAAAATGGTAGATTGTTAATTAAAAATTAACTAGTAACTACTCCATCATCAAGACTACCTGGAGCCTATGGACCTCCCATATCTGTTTTAATCCTATTTTTTAATAATAAATTATTGTTACCATCCTGGATGCATACAATATACTGATTAATTTGGTTTTACTAATCCACTCAAAACATATCTTCCATACGCATTAATTAATGCTTTGGATGCTGAATAGACAGCAAGATTGTTATTGTTTTCCTTTATAAATTCTTCAGAAAGTTTAATGATTTCTTCCTTTGTTATTTTCTACTATAATTACTATTTTAATTCTTTTGGTTAACTTTCCAATTTTCCTAAAATAGATGCTACTAAAATAATCTATATTCAATTAATCTATTATATACCTTTCCATCGTCTGTTAGTGTTGGTAATAATTATTCACTTACATCTATTGTTCCTAAGACATTGATGTCAATTATTTATCTGGGATTTTAACTCACTCCAGCATTATTCATAAGGACATCAATCTTTAATTTTTATTAAATCAACCAATCTTTTAGATTATTCACACTCTCCTTTTTACTGATATCTAATTGATGAGTCCTTATTTCAAGATTTTAGAATTTCTTTTATAAATTGTCTTTTATAATTTATAACTCTTCATGTTTTCTAGCTGTCAATATTAAAGAGTATTTTTCTGCAAGTACTTCAGCAAGTTTTAAACCTAATCCTCTATTAGCACCTGTGATTAAAACAATTCTTTTTGACTACATTTTTTAAATTTTATAATAAATTTATATGAGTGGTAATTAGATAGTTTTTATTGCTTAATTAAGTTAACTCATCTAATTATTACTGATAAATTAGAATATAACAAAAAAAAGCACACCAAAAAAAATTTATTGAAATTCTTAATTTTAATTAAAAGTAATATTTAGTATTATATTATATCGCTGAATTGCATTTTTAGTATCTATTCTAAATTATATACCTAATTAAATTTTAATGTCAAAATAACAATCAAGCATTTCCTTTTCATAAAATAATAATCCAATTGTTAAATTTTGAATTTTAGTAATCTTAGATCTTGAATTATAAGATTTAAATATTATTATGATACTTTAGATTGATATGATAGGAATATTTTTATATAAAAAACAGATTGTGATCAATATAGTGATAAGGAAACGAAGGAATTAGAATTTTAGTGTGATTTAAATGTTGTTAAGTATATTGATAATATGAATAATAGAATTTGAAAATACAACCAAACAGGAATACTTCAAATCGTAAAACGGGTATTAAAAAAAAATTAATATTTTTAATGAAGTCTTAGTTGGCCATATTGATTTTGTTATTGATAGTAGTGGCTTAAACAAGAAGAATTAACTTTTTAGGACATCGAAACGAAGATGAAAATGAAAATAAAGGAGATGGAGAAGAAAGTCATGGAAATGGAGAAGAAAGTAACGGAAATGAAGGAGAGGAAAGCGATGGAAATGAAGGAGAAGAAAGTGGATAAAAGGATTCCGGTGATGAAGGTAATAAGTTATATATGAATAAAAGGATCGAATAATGATGGTTCATGTTCTAATAGTAGTGGTTCAACAGGTAGTGAGCCATTTGAATAAGAGACATGTAAAGGTGTAATGTTCGATGCAGGAAGTTCAGGAACAAGAGTGTTTGTTTATATTTGGCCTTGCAGATTGTTTAATTATGCAAATCCAGAAATAGAAATAACATAAAAGGTATCAAAAAATAAAATATGATTAAAGGCACCTTCAGTTAAAGTTAATCCTGGAATTTCACATTATGGAGATAATATTTCTGGACTCAGAGAATATTTCAAGCCTTTAATTGAATTTGCTAATGAGCATGTTGAAGAAGAAGTCAGACACAGAACACCTATTCTACTTGGAGCAACAGCTGGTATGAGAATTCTAGATTGGAGTCAATAATATGATGTAATGGAAGAAGTTAGAAGCATTTTAAGAGAAAGTGGATATTTATTTGAGAGCTCAGATTGGGCAAGAATTATTAGTGGAAAAGATGAGGTTAATTTATAAATTTAATATTAGGGTGCTTATTTATGGTTGTCAGTTAATTATTTAAAAGGTTATTTTGCTAGTAATAATATTGATGAATAAGGTAGATTAATTGAAAGTTATACAACTATTGATATTGGTGGTGCTAGTACTTAATTGGCTGATGATATTAATGAGGAAGATCAATATTATTTATCATACGATGATGAATATTAAACAGATTATCATACATTTGATACATCTATTTATAATATTTCATTATATTCTCACTCTTGGTTGTATTTTGGTTAAGATTAAGCTAGAATTTAGATTAATAAATTTTTGAGAAATTTACATAAAAGATCATCAAGTTTTTAAAACCCTTGTTTTCTCAAAGGATATAAGTCTTAATTTAATGATGATGTTGAAGTAATTGGAACTGGTAATCCTAATGATTGCAAAGATTTGATTGATTTATATTTGCTTGGATTTAATAGCACATGTGATTAATGTGCACTTTAAGAATCTTATATACCAACAATAAGATCTGATTCAAAACTTTATGCAGGAGGGTCTGCTGAATTTGTAGCTAAAGTTTTTAATGATGACGATGACTTCACATGGACTTAATTTGAATTTTTTGATGAATTTTGTTAAAAAGAATTTGATGAAAAAAATGATGATAAATATTATCCCACTTAATGCTTCCTTGGACTTTATGTTTAAGAATTATTAGCTAATGGCTATAGAATACCATCTGATACGTATTATTATATTTATTATATTTATAGTTTAATTGAAACAGGAAAGATCAACAAAGTAGAACCATCATGGACATTAGCTGCAATCTTTGATTAAATTGATGATAATGAATCCTGCTCTGATAGTCCTCATTGTAATTTAAGAAGACATATGAAAAAATGGAGAAAAGACAGTTTCCATCCATCTATGAAAGAACGCAAACGAAACGCTCCCCTATCAAATTTGGTTCAATGATATACATTTAAATATCAATATTATTAAAAACATATTTTTATTCAATTTTTTTATTTTTAAACTATCTAATCATCAAAAAAGAACAATAGTTTTTAATAATAAATTTTTTTAAAGGGTTTTTTTTTATATTTTGAATTATATCAATATTTTCATTCTTATTTTACCTTTTTACAGATTTCCTCTTATTCATGGTATGCTTTAAACGAAACAGCCAATTCATAACAACGTTATTTCATTGATAAAATCCAAGGAACTCTTTTGTAAGTTGATATTTTCTAAAAAGAAATCAATTCAAAATATATACATCAATTTAACCAGAAGCTATAAATTTTAATACTTATTTTGCCATATTCTAAATTTTTTCATTATTTTCTTAATCCCATATTTCATCAAATTGTTCTATATAATTAATTTTAAAATTTTACAAAGATAAGAAAGGTATCCCTCATAAAATTTTTCAGAAGAAAAAATTTTCTTTAAATAAGAAGTATTCATAGTTTTGTTGGAAGACTCTGATCTAAAGGGAATTAATTCTTCAATGTTTTCATCAGAGGAAAAATATTCTTTATAAAAAACTTTCTCTATTTCATATGCACTCATTGTCAATTCATTTAAGTTCATTTTTTATTTCAAAAATTTAAAGCATTTTCTGAGAATAAATTTTATTTATTCTTCTTTAGTCTTTTTTTGATTGTGATATCTATGAATGAGTGATTCTATTAATCCATCATCTATTTTAGTCAATATCTAAATATTTTTTATCAAAATTTTTATATACTTTATATTTAATTTTCTCATTCTCCTCTAATTCCTTAATTTCTTCCTTACAGAGATATTCTAGTAATTATTTGAGTTCCTACAGTATTTCATCCTAAGTAAATTGTTTCAGTATTTCATTCTCCTTCTTTTATTTTGGTAAAACTCTTTCTGATTGGCTTTTCTTTGTTCGTAAATCAGGTTATTATACTATCGGTATTGTTCTTTGAGATGATTAAGAAAGAAGAGATATTTATTATAGAGGATTGAATGATGGTATTTATGGAAACTATAGGTTTTGTTGATTGATAAGATTATTTTATGGTGTACATAGTAATTGTAAATACTAGGGTTAAGTATAAGATATTTACTTGTAGCTATTGAAGTTATAACAATGATTGTAATTAGGGATAATATTAAAGTTATGCTATATTGGGAATCTATTAGAATGGATTCATGTAAAAATTAATATTTTGATCAATATTTTTAGATTCAACTTAAAATACACAGATATATTTTTAAATTAAATAAAACTGAATCTAAAATGAATAGTTATATTAATCATCTTCATAATAAATTTTATATTCATCATAAATGAAACTCTTTCAAATATAATAATTTTTCAATTCTTATTAAATCTTTTTTATTATTATGGTATTTCGTGTCTCTTGTCTCGAATATGAATTGATTCAAGAATTTAATTTTTTCTATAGCTCTCTGCTACCAAATCAATAATTCTCTACATTGAAGTTTTGCTGAAATTTATAAAATATAAAAATACGATATATTATAGACGTGACTTTTCTTATTATAAATTATCAGCTTGATTTACTTTTGTATTTTAAAATTGAATATTAAGATATTCGATATTTTAAAGTTGTTTTAAATGATCACCAAATTAATCTATATTATTTAGATTAGTCCTGTTAAAAGTAAGAGTCAATCGACAAAGATTAGTACAAATAATGATACCTTACAATAACTCAAAAATATTTTCTTATTTTATATCATCTAATTTAATGGTTAATTAGAGTAATTTATTTAATTTTCTAATTCCAAAACCAAGTGTGCTGAATAGAATATTTGTATTCCTGAGAAATCTAAATGTATTTCTTCTAAATTATATAATCTGGATTAATTGAGTATGAATTGTTCAATACTTTATAGTTATGTGTGTCTAAAATCAATATATTATGAAATACACTGCAAATAATGTTAAGATTTTGAGTTAAGTAAATAAATGAACATCGAATAATTTGATTGATCTTATATGAGTGTGATTAAAATTTAGATGGATTGATTGAAATTTAATATTTTAATTTAAAATTTGAATTACATTTAATACATCTGTAATGTAAGTGTTTGATAAATCTGAATGAAATCATATTAATGTTGTAATGCGAGATGGTATAATGTTTGCATTATAAATTTTTGTATTTCTAAAATTCTATGAATAAGATCATACGATGCTTGAATTTCAGGTATTTCAAAGATTTCACTTTCTTATATGGCATCTTTAAGTGGAGTTATATCTTCTATCTTAGAATCAATAAAATGTAATTGAAGTTTTTTGTAATGAGAAGTGTCTTTATAAAAATTAACATTTATTCAAAAACTTCATTTTAATTATGAATTATCCAATCAATTTCTTTTTTTTCAGAATCTTCTTTAAATTATTCAATTTTTTTTCCTGATTTCTCATGTTGATTAATTTCCCATCTAAAATTAATTTATTAAAACTAAAATGCATATATAAAATGTTAATACATATAAAATAGAATGAGAATGTATCAATAATGGATTTTTTATAAAAATTATATCAATCAGGCTATTAAACGAATTAAAACTGATTTTCTCTCATTCTTTTTTTAAATAAATTAAAAGATGTCTAAGAAAATAACATTTAATTAGATAATAAGTGTCATAGGTGATTTGCATCATTAGACACTTTTGTCACCTGTTAATCAAAAATCTGAGAAAAGATTAAAAAAGGTTACTTTTGATAATTAAGCACTTTATCTTTAATTTCGAGCAACTGATTGTCCTCTTGAGGTGAATTCGACTCTCTAAAAACATCTTAACTAAGGATCGATTTCAGTACTCACTTATCCATGAAAAAAGAAATGATTTTTATTTCATAATATTTTTCAATCTTGTATATTTGTTTGCTTCATAATAAAACAACATTCAAAAAAAAGAATATAATATATGTGTATTTATGAGTCTTTATGAGTATTTATTGAATATTGCTTCTTAAATAAATAGCCATAGATTACTGATAAGTAAAAAATGGAATATTAAAAAGAAGTTTTCTTTAGAATGAGAGTTTTGAGAAATGAGCAATAAATACTACATAAAAATGGACAAAATAACTTATTAAAGAGACAGAAGAATTTAATTGCTGATTATAAATTTACTTTGAGAATAGGATAATAAAGAAATGAAATTTCTGTTCTTTTAATTAAGGTTTAAATTGTGAAGAAAACTTAGATGATTTATAAAATTGATTCTAAATAATAAATATAATGATGATAAGAAAATAAGTTTAAGAAAGGATTGTAAAAGATGTTGTTAAAATATTAATAAAATAATAAAATAATGTATATTTCAATATTCGTAATTCAAATTTTGAATGTTGCGTTGGCAAGTAAAATAGATATGTAAATAATAATAGCATTGGATTGTTCATCAATAAAGGGAACAGCGTTAAATAGTTATGCATATAAAACAGATGGATCTGTTTAATTTGAATTTACATTATAAAGCGGTGGTAATGTGGATATAATATTTCCTAATTTTTGGAATGGATCACCATCAATATCACCTTTAATAATGGGAACTAGTAGTTGTAGGGAAGTAAGTATGATTAAGATTTATAAAAGACTTCATTAAATATAGGATGTATATAAGAAAATTAAAAATTCACATGTTCTTTGACAGCAGGCAATTTAATAATTAGATGTATAAATGTGAGAGGACCACATACAAATAAACCAATAGGAAATTTTAATATATAATTTGCTTCATAATCTTGTGATAATATTCAAATAAGGAACTTTTAACCATACGGTGGTTCTGTTGTATTTTCATCAAATTCAACAACAGGTTTGTATCCAAATACTGATAAATTATAAATGATATGGGAAAACATAGTATTACCAATATCTTTTAATTCAAATCCAAGGATTGAGGTTTCAATTTTAAGCAATGGAGAATTTGTTACATCATAAACTGTAAAAGGTTATGTATCAGCAACATCAATTGGTTTATTGGAATCACTTAGTGTAAGTACACCAAGTTTAATTAAAGCATAAATGCCTTAATCTATTGCAATTAAAGATGTTCCTATAAAGTTATATATGGAATCATTAAAAGTAATGGGAAATACTTAACCTATTTAATCATAAATTGATTTTAAGGATTCTAATGATATATTGTAATATTAGATTCTATTTCCTACTATATCAGTCTTAAATGATCAATTATCCGCTAGTCTAACAATTGATTCAACAGAAATAAACATTTATACAAAATATACATTTAGTATAATAATAAAGAATGCATTAAATTCAGCAGGATTTGTAAGAATAGCATTAACGAATACATTATTATCTTCTACTTTAATTTGTTATTGTGATAATTAAGTATCTATTCCAGTTATTGCTTCAGAATATATTGATATTGGTGGTTGTTTAACTACTGTTGGTACTCATAATATAGCTATTCTAAATGTTTTGAATCCTGTATCTACTATTTCTACTATTACAATATCATACATACAAACTATGTAAAATAATTTCTCTGTTGATAGAATTACTAACTTTTAATATAAATCACCTTCATTTACACCAGGAAACTTGAACATTTAATATGAAAGATTTGGATCAAATTTTGATGTTGTTGGAGATCATTCTTTTTTTATACTTAAAATTACACCCAAAAATAGTATACCAGCTTTAGGAATCTTAAAAATGGAAATACCTTAACAAATCAAATTTATTAACCAAAATACATAAACATGTAATACAGATGGATATGGTTGTTAAATTTAAACCATTTCTGATTAAGTATTAGAATTTAAATTTTCATCTTTAATTTAAGCTTCCAAATTATTTACTATCAGTTCTATCTCTATTCCTATAAGAAATCCATTTGATACAAGTTTAACTAATAATTTTAAATTTTCTACTTATGATTAATTTAATAATATTATAGATGTTATATCAAATGTTTAAGGATATTCAGTTAATACAAGATCATCATTTGATGGATTAATAATTATAGAATCAAAGGAACCTTTTAAAAATGGATAATCCAATACTTTTTATTTTACAATCAAAACCAAAACTCCTTAATTCTATCCTATTTAAATGACAGTTAAAGTTGGCGATTTAACTATTAATAATAATCCATAATGTAAACTAGAAGGAGCTATCATCAAAACTTGCACTAAAATATCCTCTAATTAATTAGATATATTACTTGAAAGTACTGATTAAGTATTATAACCAACAACTTTGAAGTTAACTGTTTCTACTATCAAATGCAAAGATACAATGACAAAAAGTCAAGATTTTGAATTTTCAACTAAATCTACGAATGGATTAATGAGCTATCAATTAGGACCATATATTAGCAATATATAATTTGGGGATATTACATAAACAGATTTGATAGTTGATAAACAATATTATGGAGCAACAAGTGCAATCTATTAATTTAATTTTGCTTTACAGAATCCATTAAGTGAAAGTAATTATCAGATTAATATATTATTTCCATTTAACCTACCTTCTTCAGGTTTTTCATGTAAAGATACATCCAATAATAAATTACATTGCAGTGTCTAATCTAATAATATCTTAGTTTTAACTGGACCCTTTGATTCTAATCAATTAAAATATAATGTAATCGTAAATGAAATTCCAACTCCTCAAAATGAGTAATAACCAAGAACATTTACAATTAAGACTTATAGAAAAATAGACAATTAAGTTTATCTAGTTGATAGTTCACTTAATGGGGCATTTTAATTTAATATATTTTGTCCTTAATTGAATAATTGTAGAACTTGTTCAATTATAGCTTCTGACAATGTTTAATGTTAAACTTGTTATACATCTGAAATATCAAAATTTATATATATGAAATCAACTGCTTGTGTAGATAATTGTGGATCTGGATATTATTAAAATGAACAAGAACTTTTATGTTAATAATGTCCAAAAAATTGTTAAATTTGTTAACCAATAAATAATATTCTAATTTGTAATAAATGCTTTTCTAATTTTAAGTATTAAGATAGTATTTGTGTTGATAGTTGTGGAGATACTTATTATTTACCATTAACAACAATTGATAAATGTGAAAAGTGTGATAGTGAATGTATTTTATGTTCAATGAATTCATCATATTGTTCTAAATGTTAAGCGAATATACCTTTATATAATTATAAATGTTATAAAGAGGGATGTTTATAAGGATATTATTAAACTTACAATTAAAATAAGGTATTGATATGTGAAGTTTGTCCAGCTACATGTATAAGTTGTATATAAAATGATTAATGTACTTAATGTTAACCAGGTTAATATTCTTTATCAGGAACATGTAGAGCTGATTGTCCATCTGGTTTCTTTGTAAATGAAGAAACTATGAAATGTAAACCTTGTATTGCAGGATGTAGTTAATGTTCAAATGAATAAACATGTGTTAAATGTTAAGATGGATTCTTATTAAAATTATAATCATGTGTTTTAACATGTGGAGAATAGTATTATGTAGATGCTACATAAACATCTTGTTTAAAATGTAATTAGAATTGTTAGACTTGTGAATTAAAAGATTAAAAATAAATGTGTACCTCTTGTATTAAAACATACTTTTTTTCTGATTTCAGTTGTCTATAATAATGTTAATCAAATTATTACTCTATAAATCAAGAATGTCTTTAATGTTCATAAAATTGTTTAACTTGCAAAGATACTTCATAGACTTGTACTTCATGTTAAGTATAAGGAGATACACCATTATTTTTAGATGGAACTATTTGTGTTTCTAAATGTTCAGACACATATTTCTCAGATCTTACAAGTGGAAAATGTACATAGTGTCCAACTACTTGTACATAATGTACTTCATTAACAAATTGTACTCAGTGTAATTAATCATCAAAAACTCATTATTTGATTTAAGGTGCTTGTAGAGAAGAATGTCCTAATAATTATTAACCTAATGGATTACTTTGTGAATTAATACCTGAAAAAATTAGAATCAACTTAGAACCTAATCGATATATTCCAGTTCCACATGTTATGTTATTTACTTTTTTCACAATTTCAGTATTAGTATCAAAATAATACAAAAGTGAAACTTATATCCCAGGAGCAATCTTAGGATTGAATGCTCCACTTATATGGTCATCATGGTTGACTGTTATGTTCTTATTGCATAATTATTATGAATTCTTTCAAATGTATTACTTTTGGATCCTTATTGGTGGATTGACACTTAATCTCCTTTTTAATATTGCTCACTTTATTTTGGTTTATTAAAATATATGGAATGATAAGGATTTCATTTAATGGTAAGCTTCCTCATTAAAAAATAAAGTTACTAATTATATTTTGATTTCCCTATCTATTCTCATAGCATATCCTATATATAAACTTATTATGAGTAGATATTTTGGTTTTTCCTTTTTCAAAGCTAAATTGGTAGACACTAAAGCCTTTTTCTATTTTAATTGCTTAAATGGAGTATACATTACATTTGTTAATATACCAATTATTGTTAGTTGTGCTCTGATTGCATATAATGAATCTTCACTTAATACTTAAACTTTTATTAGTGCTATTGATTCACTTATTGTTACTTTTACGAATATTTTATTGTTAATTTGGGAAACTTAGAAAGGAGAATAATTCTTTGATGAATTCATTTCAAATTATTATTTGAATGAATCTAAATAAAATATTGAGAAATAAGAAATCTCTGGATTCTTTTAACATCCCTTCGATCAAAAATTATAAGTTGAATAGAAGTTTGATGTCTCAGATATAGATGCTTAAGCTGTGAATTAAGAAAATGATATAACTAAATAAAAATCTCATGAATAATCTCATGAACAATCATGTAATTTAAATGGAATCAGTATTATTTTGAGTGATAAGAATTCTAATCCTGTATTTAAATAAGAAAGTTAAAGATCTTAATAATTTCCTTAAAAATAATTAGTTCCTTCTAATCTTAAACATACTGTCTATTTTAAGAATATATAAAATAATCATTAAGAGAATCCTGATAATGAACCACCTTATGCATCTCCAGGATCTGACAATTTCAGTTCTATCAAATCTTAAACGAGTTAACATGGTTAGAATTATTTTAATGATTAAAGTTAAAGTCCCTTAAAAGACATTAGTTAAATCTAGGATTCAGAAGAACCTCATGAAAATAGTTAATTATCAATATTTGATGAAGAGAAGAACAAGAGTCCTTCAAAATTATAAAAACCTTTATCATTATAAAAACTCTAAGATTAATTTAATATCATTCCTACATTTGAAAATGATGATAATGAAAATAATTCTTAATAAATTAATTTACAGATTGAGAAAGCTGAAAGTGCTTTGAAAAAAAGTTAATCATAATTAGTTAATAATAATTTAGGAGATAACAACCTATAATCGAATCGTAAATCATCATAATCAAGAAGAGAAATAACATTATAATATTCATAAGTGTAATCATAATAACTTGCTAAATCAGCTTAATTTTATAATGAATAAAATAGAGCATTTTCTACACATAAATCTATGAGTCGTGAATCGTTAAGTAAAGATACAAATAAAATTTAATAAGGATAATTAATATAATAAAAGTAATCTTAAGAAAAACCATTAGCCAAATCTTTTTTAAACTAATCAGAATAATAATAATAATAATGGGATGATATTAAATTATAATCATAATCATAATCATAAACAGTTTATAATATAAAAAATGATGATTTTAATGAAATACAAAAGCAAAATATTGATGATTATTCTTCTATTCCTTCTAATTAATTTAAACCGAAAGTGGAATAAAATAATTTAAAAGAACCTTCACGTGAAAGTAATTAGGAGGATGATAATGATGATTTTAAATTGTAAATAGGTATTGTAGATTAATAACCATAATTTGATACAGAGGATTAAAAAGATTAGAAGAGGATTTAGATTTTGATGGATAGTAGAGCAATAGAAGAAGAAGATTAGTAAATATTTTAAGATTAGATATAAATATAATAAATAAAGCCTAATAGGAGAGGAGTAGAGAGTAAAGGAAAGAAAACAAAGAGTGAGTAAATAAAAAGAATGAAAGTTGAGAAGAAGTCTGAAATAAAGAATATATTTGATTCAAATGATTCAATTCATACAATGTCTGATTAAGATTGGGGTGATAATTAGATATCTCCTTCAGAATTTAATTAATTAAATTAAAGGTTTGAAGATGAATAGGTATTGGATTTATAGATTCATGAACCAACTCATAGTAAGACTCAATAACATTATAGATAGGCAAAAGTAAAGCCTTTGGATTTTGAATTTGGTGATGAGAATAATGATGAATAATTTTATAAAGGATAGGCTAAAGTAGATTTTACGAAGAATTTTTAAATAAAGAAGGAGACAAAGAGGTAACAATTAGAGAAGGTATACTTATAGAAGTTAGATAAAAATGAGAAATTGAATGTTGGATCATCTAAATGGGAATTCAAGAAGAAATAGGTCAATAGAAATCATCCGAAAGATATATCAGATGCATATATAGATGATTAGATTGATGTTGAAGATATCAACTTTTGAATAATTAATTAATTATATATATGTAAATATTATAAATTATAAATGAGAGGCAATTTGAATATAGATATTTCAAGATCAAGCAGTTCTCATTTTCTTAATGACATCGAACTTAAAAAACTGTTTCCATTTACACAGTAATTACACAATCGATACTTATAATAAAATAGGCTTTAAAACATTAAGGATGATCTAACAAACCTTTAGCAACAAACAATAACCTTTTAAATAAAGGATTTATTATTTAAGTAGAATTTGAACAATATTTTAGAGATAAAACCAGAAGTAGAAATAATATAGACGATATTATTAATTAGCAGACTACTCCAAGAAGATTAAGATCGAAAGAAAGAACCATCAGTGTAAATAAGAAAAGTACTTAAACTATTAATTATCATGATGCTTAAAATGTTAATTTGCATAACAAAAGTATCAGAAGAGATATTGTATAATTGGCATAATGGTTAGAATTGATGATATAGTAAGTATAATAAACATAGGGTAATTTATCATTTTAAGATTATTACAATAAAATTGAAGTAATATTTAGTGGATCAATGTTAGAGTTATAGAGACAATTATAATAGAAGGGATTTGAATTTGGATAATGTCTTAAGAAAATTTGGGATTCTTTTTTGATAAATGTTTAATATGTGGTTGAAGGATTGAATGTTAAAGCTAATTAGATTGAATAACAAAGTTTAGATAAAATTAATAAATTACATGAATGGTATTAAGAAGCTATGTAAAAATAACTTCATCAAATATAATAACAAAAAGAAGAATTGATTTAAATGTAATCAATAAACTTGTAAATGAATAAAGAGAATTAATATCTTAGAAAGAAGGATGTTAGGAGAGAAAAATAATTAAGAGAATTAATTTATGATAAAGATCATTATTTATTAGAAATTATTGAATTGAAATCAACTTAATTTGCAAATTCTATGGATATAGAATAATGTTAATAAAAAATATATGATTATTTCAAAAAGCAATGTGAAAATCATATGAAAACAATGGAAATTTAATATAAGAATTTGTAAGTGTAAGATTTTTATTTTGAACATACTTTAGACTTAGTAATTAAAGAAAAAGGATGTTAAGTTATTGATTTGATAAAAGTATAAGATTAATATACATCTACATGTGAAAATTAATTAGTTAATGTTTCTACTTAAACTCATAAGTAGAAAAGATAAATAGATTAAGAAGTTTAAGTTAAAGTTTATACAAGTGATTAAGAAACATAAGTCAATATTTATTAAATAAAAAGAGATAAATTAATAAGGAATCCTTATGAATAGATAATTTTAAGAAATGCTAATCTTGATTTAGATGACATTATAGATTAATTTTAATAATTCTATTTTCCATATTAAGAACTATTATCAAATGATCCACATTATTTGACATTGATTATTAATGAGACGAATCGTTAAGAAAAATAAATTAATTAAATTCTAGATACAATTAATGTAAGAAATGAAATTGCTCCTAATGATTTCTTAAAATTTAAAGAATACCTAAAAAATATTAATAAATTAGCATAGTAAAATTATATATAAATTTGGAAGATAGTTTTAAATTAATAATCATCTGTAATAGATTCAACAATAGAAAAATAAGAACTCTAAGTAGAATTAGATGAAATTAAATCTATTTTTAATAAAAATATGTAAATTATAAAATAATTTTAAAATAAATATGAAGAGGATAAAAAGATTTCATAGTTTTATTAATAATCTTTAATAAGAATAATTAGATATGCTCCATAATTTATAATTAATTAAATTTAATAATAAGCAAATTTATTAAAAGTATTGGATGGAGTAGAATTCAAAGAATTGAGAAAGAAAACAACAATAGTTGATTCTAGAATATCAGTAAGTCCATAGAGAGATGATAGTTAATAATTATATTCAAAGCAATCTCCTATTAGAGCAAGTTAAATTTCTTTTTAATCTTAATTGTAAATAAATTCAATGAAATAAATATCTACAAATAGCAAATAATTAAAATCATAAAAGTCTTTTGAAATTGAAGTTGATATGCCTAAAGGATTAAGAGATATTGATGAAGAATCTTATAAGAGTGAATCAGAAGATGAAAATTAATAAGAAATGGAAGAAAATACATTTTCCTTATTAAGATTTGATTTTTCAACTTAAAAGCCTCAATTGACCTTGGAAAAGAAGTTAAGAATAAATACTTGTCCATTGAAATCTGCATAATATTCAACATCAATTCTTAAGCAAAGTATTTATTTATTTACTAAATTATTAGTACTGAAGAAATTTAAAAAAAGCAATATGAATGGTTTATATACTATTGGTACTTTACTATAACATTATACAGAATTAATCTAAAGGTAATTACCAAATAATACAAATACTCCTTTACATGTTCATCTATATGAACATATTACTTTTAGATTTGGATAATCATAAATTAGCGATTGTAATCGATACAAGAGAATCATTAAAAGTTTTTTATATTATGAACATAGACATTCTACTTGTAAAATAGTTGTAAGATTTTTAAAAGCTGAATTGGATGTTTAAGACTTAAATACATATTTATAAATACTCGAAATATGTAAAGAATATCCTAGTTTAACATTTTTTAATTTTATGCAATCATTATAAGAATGGCTTAATCAAAATCATTATACAGAAAATGAAATAGATATGATTAAAGATTAGTTATATTTATCTGATTTAGCTTATTTATAAAATAATCCATCACCTACTGAATTTGATTTAATTATGGATCATTTTCTAACAATTTTTGCTAAATTTAAAAATAGAACTTCATATAAATATAAATATTTATTTGAATCTATTGATACTTAGAATAAAGGTATCATTAATTTTTAATAATGGAACTTTATTTATGAAACCATAATACAAGTAAATTATTCATTTAGTGTAAAATTATTCTATTCTGAAGCTGATTATTAAGACAATCAAAAATTAATGTCAAAGTAGAGATTTACTGTAGTAAGTGATGAATTACAAATCTTTTAGCCAGATCAATAAGAGAAACTATTGGATCATCAAAACTTTGAAGATATTCTATTAGAATTAAAAGAAAAATGGATTCAAAACAAAATTTAAATGAAGATATGCTTCATCAAATCCAATAGAGTATCTCGTTTAAATTTAATTTTTAGTATGACAAATTTATTAAAAGCTTATTTCAATATGTAGATAGGTGTTTACTAAACAAATTAAATGTGGAATCATGTTGTTTTACTTATAAATTACTTTAGAAAACATACAAAGTTTATTATCTAGATCAACAAGTCTAAGGTTTTATTATTACTCCATTCCAAATTATCACGTAAAAGTTTAGATAATTAGAAGAATAGATGTTTTGAAGTAAATTTTTTATATATTTTATTTTTTTTAATATAAATTAATAATCTTTATTGCAGAATGAAAGTCAAATAAATAAAAGAGATTTTAGATAAATTTAAACAGAAATATTCAATGGACATGGATTATAAAAAAGATGAGAATAATTTTACCTGTTATTTTAAGATAAATTCTTTAAAAATAGCAAAGGGATAGGGATCTTGTAAGAAATATGCTAAAAACGACGCAGCAGCTAAAGCTTATGATATCTTACTTAATTCAGATTATAGTTTTGCTAAAAAAACAGGTATTAAAAAACTTTCTAGTGATGAAGATTATAAAGCAAAATTAGAGTAACATGCTAAAGAGAAAAACATTTAATTGAAATTTTCTAGTAAAGTAGAAAAATAAAATGAATTGTGTTACTCTAAATTTAAAATAGAATATGGATACAAAAAATTTAAAGGATTTGGTTAAAAAAGTAAAGAAAACTAATGCTTTTAATATATGTGTTATAATATTCTTAAATAACTTGAATATATAGAAAAATAAGATTAATAAAAAAAAAAAGAAATTAATAGTGAATAAGAAGTTATACCAAATAAAATTAAAATTGTTGTAAAAACAAAATAAGAAGAGCCAAAATAAATTAAAAGTAACCTCTAATTTTTATAACCTAATATTAATTAATTTATAGAACAGCTTAAAATTTAATAGTTTTTAAATAGCTTAATGGTCGAGGATGATGTTTACAATCATTTTGATAAATTTATATCTTTGATGTCTTCTCAAAATGATTTTTATTTTCGTCCTGTAGGATCATTTACTACTAAATCTATTAGAACTTTAAAGCCAGAACTTGATATATTGGTTCATATACCTAAAGGGAAATTTCCAATGTTCGAATAATTTTTAGAAAAGACATCAAAAGAATTTTAAAGCAAATTCTGTAGGAATAGAAAGCAATTCAGATTTGAATTACCGTTTTAATCCAGGAATAAATTCTTGAGATGGACTTTTACATCTATTAAAGCCAATTTATATATAAAAAAAAAATTGACACCTGATGCTTTTATCCATGATGAATATATGAAATAATACTAAGTAGAATATTAGTAAAATAGATATTCAACTCAGTATCTCTCATTAATTCATCAATGGAGAGAAGATTCCAAACTTCCTTTACAATCAAAAATATTGGATTATTTAATTGTCTAAGTATCAAATTTATTTTAATCATTAAATCCCCCAATTTAAGTATTAAAATAAATCATCTATTTATTAAAAGTTGGTGTTTTGGATGAAATTGTAGAAATGGATAAAGAAGAAAATGAATTGAACCCATTTCTTCAATTAATTCCTTAAAACTAAATTTAATATATTAAAAAACTTTCTGACAAAACCCGTTCATCAATAAAGGAGATAGCACAATCTTATGATGAGAAAACAATTTAAAAATGGATTTTTAATTATATTAATTGATTCAAATATGCTTTTGTTTATATTTAATTTCAGATATTGAAAATGTCTTTATTTTTATTCTTTAAAATAAAGCACATTTTTCATTTTTGCTCTTAGTTTTGCAACTATCCTGAGAAATTTATTATTTAAATTTTTTTCATATAAATTAGGATTATTTTCTTTTGGTTCTGCTTAAAGTTAAAAAGGTTATGGATAATCTTTAGAATCTAAAATTAATTCCTTATTTAGATAAATATTCCTTTATTAATTCAAAGCTTATGATCTTTAATACGAGAATACAATATCTAACATTAAAGTTATCTTAATTTATAATTCTCATTTTTTATTTTTAATATTATTTTGTTTGACATAAATATTTTATAATTAAAAGTCATCTAAAGATAATAAATCAGATTCTATAAAATTTTTATAAATCTTTGTGGATATACATGAGAGGTGATTTTTATAATTCTTTTTTTTGAACAGAAACATTTGTTGTAGATTAGATACAATTAATTTTTAAAATTTAGTCAGATTGATCTATAGAGGAGCATGAATAAAATTTGTTACTTTCCTTTAATACTTTAGGAACTTTAAGAATAAGTGATTTTTCTAATAAAATTTTATTAATAAATTGAATTTTTTTTTGTGTAATTTAATTGAAATTCAATTTTGGAATAGAATTTAAAAATAGTCTAAAGAGGATTGAAATTTAGTTTGGTTGATTTGAATTAAACTCTAGGGGAATAATAATTAGTTTATGTGTTATTTATTGTATCTATTTTGGAAATGTATATTTAATTATGATGAATTAAAAATATTTTTATATCATTAATAAACTTTTTATCATGAAATAATGATAGAAGTGAATGGCATCCATCAGATGTAGATAATGGAATAGTATTATTATTTATTTGATAAAATTAAAGTAATTTTAAATATATCTTTAGTTTTGGAGCGAAAATAGTGAAATCTTAATTAGTTTCTGGAGTTTATTTACTTCTATTACAATAACTTAAAGTTTTCTAGATTGATAAACTTATTTTAATTATTATTAAAGTCTATCTAAAGTATTGTCTTGATTGATACTCTTTGATTTTAAAAATTAGAATTGATACATAAAATTTTATTTATAAACAAAAATCATGTTTTATTTTATAATGATAATTATATAATTAATTGAATGGAATAATAATATAAAGGTAGGAAATTAATCATTTATTAAGAGTAATTACTGAACCTGGAGAAACAAATACAAGTAGTCAATAGTTTTTTAGTACAAATACATTATTTTTAAATAATATTGGATTGAGTACAAATATATCATCGAGCACTTTGAGACATACAGCCCCTTAGATTTCATTTCCAAAAGCAAATAGATTTAATACTTAATCTTAAATTTAATTGCCAACTAAATTGGAATTGGCATCATAATTGGGAAAAAGGTTGTAAACATAAAATGAATAAATATTTTATACAGATACACTTAATAAGGATTCGGTAATAAGAAGGTGTTTCAATATGAATGGTAAAAAGTGAATGCAAAAGAATTCCCTAGTCCTGATAGATATTAAGTGAGATAAGAACCAGGAAAAGATTAATATAAGAGATCATTTGGATTATCTTGGGAAGCATATTCTAAGACTTATTTACCACATAATAAACATTAAGCTCCAGAAGTAGCTAAGTTTTTACCAGGTATATTATTTTATAAATATAAGGTCCTGGAGAATATTATGTACGTTAAGATTTAGGATAACATAGATATTAAGTTTAATTGAAGGGTAAGGGTAAGATGTTTAATGATCAAAGAGAAAATGGTGTTCCTGGACCTGAAACTTATTAACCTTCAATATCATTGATACTTCCTAATAGATTTTCTGTAATTGTTTTATTACAAATATTGTTTAGAAAATCTCTTAAGGGATTGGAGAAAAAAAGGATCCCTTTAAATCCTTAAGTTTCACTCCTGGACCAGGAAGATATCAATCAAATTCAGCTTTTGATAAAGTTTCCAAAAAAAGAGAATTCATTACAAAACCTGGAGAAAAAAGACCATTCATATGAATTTAATTTAAAACTTATACAAAACTTTATTTGTAGATTCCTATTTATACGATTCTTTTATAATATAATATAAATTAAAAAGAAAAGAAATCATTTCATTTTACCTATCTATTCTTTTAATAATTGATTTCTCAATTCATATTCGATTAATTCATCATTTTCTACTGAATTTTTCGATATTGATTTTTTTCTCATTGGAGAAGGTGCAATAGGTTTCAAGATATTTCTTGCAAATTCTAATCCTTTTTATCGAACAGTTACTTGTTTTGGTTCGCTTTTTGGTATTCTTTATTTAAATTGTCTATGCTCTACTTTAACCTTTATATATATTATATTAATACATGTTCTGCGAATTCAAGCATTCTATCCATTTTATCCTTTTATTATTACCATTTTTCTATTGATAATGTTGGACCTAATCCTTGACCTGGATTTTTTAAAATTGGTTGCAATTTCAATAGTTTATATTAGCTTAAGGTGTATGGTTTGTAATTGAGTATTGAATTGTTGTCATCTTTAAAGGAGAAATTTTTAGATTGATTATGTGTTTCTTGTTCTTCTTTTTTCCATTATTCAAAAATCATCAATTATTCTTCTTAATGTCTTCTGATTAATTCAGACAATTCTCTTTATTAGATTAGATGTAATTCATGTAATTTTCGTTTCTATTCTTCTGATAATTTTTCAGTCAATCCATACTAATTCATAATAATGTTATTATAAAATTTTATCAATAAATTTAGATAATTTGTTGTATTTATCTTTTTTGAGTTTTATGCAAAATCATTTGTTCTAATTGAAGTTATATTACATCAAAATTGAAATAATATAGAAAGAGATCCTTCAACAAATTTACTTTATTTAAAACTGATTTTATCCCAGATCCCCTTAAAAAATTTGATCTAAAATGATTAAAATATTTGTAAAAAAACTAATAAGTAAATATGCGAAAGCATACATCTCCATATAGAAATTAAAAAGCTGGATCTTCTTTAGGAAAAGTAGTTTAAAAAGTAGAATACAAGACAAGAAATAATTCGAATGAGAAAAAAGTGATAAATATATCACCAATTAGATTTGTATTAAATTCTAGACATAATTCATTTGAATAAAATACAACAAAGTAGACATAAACAAAATAATGCATATAAAATAATTTAAGCAGAAAACATTTTTAACTATAATATATAATTGGTATTGGTGGTTTTGGAAGAGTTTGGAAGGTGATATATAAATAACAATATTATGCAATGAAAGAAATGAGTAAAGCTTTAGTTATTTATAAACGAAGTGTGGCTTCTATTATTAATGAATTAAGGTTATTATAAATTGTTAATCATTCATTTATAGTAAATGTTGTTGCTGCTTTTTAAGATAAACAGAATATATATTTGATATTAGATTATTTGTAAGGAGGAGATTTAAGATATCATTTAGGGCGTAACAGAAAATTTAATGAAGAATAAACAAGTATAATATGAACAATATCAGAGTTCTTAATTTGTTGTGTTATTGTTGGTTTAGAATATTTACACTCAAATTGTATTATTCATAGAGATCTTAAGCCAGAAAATTTAGTATTAGATTCCAAAGGATATTTAAGAATAACTGATTTAGGAGTAGCAAGAAAAAAAGAAACTTTAAAAATAGATACAAGTGGAACACCAGGATATATGGCACCAGAAGTTATGTGTGGATAAGAACATGGCATAGAAGCAGATTATTATTCATTAGGAGTTATAGCATATGAATTAATGCTTGGAAGAAGACCTTATTATGGTAATAATAGAAAGGAAATTAGAGATGCTATTCTCGCTAAGTAAGTTTAAATTAAGAAGAAATATTTAGATTGGTCATTAAATGCTATTGATTTTATAAATTAATTGATTTAGAGAAAACCAGCTTAAAGATTAACTGATGTCAAAAATCATCCATGGCTTAAAGATTATCCTTGGGATAAATTAATTAATAAAACTTTATAACCACCATATGTACCTCTTAATAATGATAATTTCGATATTTCTCAAATTCAATTTGAAGATCAAGAAAATCAACTTATAATCAATTAAACAGGCTTTTTAATATCTTAAAATATTAATGCTTTTGATGAATACTATTATGAATAAAACTTAAGAAGAAGATCTTCATTAAATCGATCCTTTCTTATAAAATGAATTACATATTAATTTTATTCAATTTATATTATTTATATATAACACTACAATTATTATATCAAATCTATAGTTATTAGTTAATTAAATTCACAACTCAATCTATTTTGTTTGTCTTCTCCTTGTAGATATTACTGATGTCCTTTTCTATATATAATATTAATTTAATTCAATACCGATTAATCACTATCCTCTACAGGTTAACTTTATTTTAATTATTCTAATTCAATCTCTAATACTTTAAGTTTTTCTGCTGTTTCATTGTGAATCTTTGTCAAATTTTAATATTTATTCCTCCAAGAATCTAATTCTAATGTAATCTAGAAACTCTCTGTTTAAACACATTATTCTTCAAGTCCCTCTAGTTTTTTCTTTAACTCGCTATTTTTATTAATTTTAATATTAACTTTATTTTTTAATTTCTTTGATGATTTAGTCTATTCTCTTATTCCCACTTCTATTTCCACTAAGAATCTGAATTTTATTATTCTTAACATATTATTGGCAATTTTTGTTTATCTATATGAATTCTCTATTTTTATAAATATGTTTCTAAAAGAATTGAATGTTCATCAATCAATTCATTTAATTATAACATTGTGATTATTTGAGCTTGTAATGAAGATTCATATTTTTGAGATATCTACTCAAATTTANATACAAGTGGAACACCAGGATATATGGCACCAGAAGTTATGTGTGGATAAGAACATGGCATAGAAGCAGATTATTATTCATTAGGAGTTATAGCATATGAATTAATGCTTGGAAGAAGACCTTATTATGGTAATAATAGAAAGGAAATTAGAGATGCTATTCTCGCTAAGTAAGTTTAAATTAAGAAGAAATATTTAGATTGGTCATTAAATGCTATTGATTTTATAAATTAATTGATTTAGAGAAAACCAGCTTAAAGATTAACTGATGTCAAAAATCATCCATGGCTTAAAGATTATCCTTGGGATAAATTAATTAATAAAACTTTATAACCACCATATGTACCTCTTAATAATGATAATTTCGATATTTCTCAAATTCAATTTGAAGATCAAGAAAATCAACTTATAATCAATTAAACAGGCTTTTTAATATCTTAAAATATTAATGCTTTTGATGAATACTATTATGAATAAAACTTAAGAAGAAGATCTTCATTAAATCGATCCTTTCTTATAAAATGAATTACATATTAATTTTATTCAATTTATATTATTTATATATAACACTACAATTATTATATCAAATCTATAGTTATTAGTTAATTAAATTCACAACTCAATCTATTTTGTTTGTCTTCTCCTTGTAGATATTACTGATGTCCTTTTCTATATATAATATTAATTTAATTCAATACCGATTAATCACTATCCTCTACAGGTTAACTTTATTTTAATTATTCTAATTCAATCTCTAATACTTTAAGTTTTTCTGCTGTTTCATTGTGAATCTTTGTCAAATTTTAATATTTATTCCTCCAAGAATCTAATTCTAATGTAATCTAGAAACTCTCTGTTTAAACACATTATTCTTCAAGTCCCTCTAGTTTTTTCTTTAACTCGCTATTTTTATTAATTTTAATATTAACTTTATTTTTTAATTTCTTTGATGATTTAGTCTATTCTCTTATTCCCACTTCTATTTCCACTAAGAATCTGAATTTTATTATTCTTAACATATTATTGGCAATTTTTGTTTATCTATATGAATTCTCTATTTTTATAAATATGTTTCTAAAAGAATTGAATGTTCATCAATCAATTCATTTAATTATAACATTGTGATTATTTGAGCTTGTAATGAAGATTCATATTTTTGAGATATCTACTCAAATTTATCACAACACGAATACTCACTGTTATTTGCTATGTTCTAACCAACCATATTATGTTTTAAATGTTCTGAAGGTTACCGACTTAAATAGCTTGCTTAACCAATTTCTTAAACGAACGTATTTTAAACTGTATAAGGTATTTTAGGCTTAAATGGGCATTACACATTATATTATTCTTCAAAATCAAGTTAACAAGACGAGTTTGGAGAATTATACAAATTCATATATTTTAATATTATTAAAGTTTGAAAGTTTGCTAAGATCTTAAGTTATGCGGTTATTACATTATAAAATAAAAACGGAATTATTATAACTTTTTATTTATTATATAATTTATTTATATATATTTTGAATTAAACAATGTTCTCAAGATTATTATATTTCTTTTTCTATTGTTCTTCTTTTTGTATTAGCCTAAGTAATTATTTTATAAAACATACCTTAACTTCAATCTTTTTTTTTTACTATTTCAACATATCAATTTCATTTTCTAAAACAACAACTTATTATTCTTTTTCATTATATTATTTATTTAATGAAATGAATTTATTTTTCCATTGATTTTTCTCTACTTCTAATTCCTCTTTACTAGTAGTAACTGTAACCTTTAAAAACTATTCTTTAATCTTATTTTCTAATTATCTTTAAAAATTTTTATTTTTTTTACTTAATCTATTCTTCTTTTTCATCTCCTATTTTTTTTTCTTTTTCATATTTTTCTTCCCATTCTGATTTAAATCTATCTTTTTCTCGTAAAAATCTATTATTCTCTAATTGATTTTATTCCTTTAGCTTTGAACTTTTAGCATCTTCTATACTTTGATTATAAGATTCAATTTATAATTTTGAATGCTACTAAATTAGATGATTCAATTCGGACAATTTATTCATTTGTTCATTTATAATTAGTTACTGAATTGTAATTATTTATTTACGTATTGTTTACTAAGATTATCTAATCTATTGCAACAAAAATTTTCATGTCCATTTAATTGATCTAAACTCCTTTCAGATGGCTATTCTTATTTCTCTATACTTTATGCTATTGTATTTGTCTTTTTATCTTTGATTAATTATCCTTTATCAATTAAAGACTGTAATGAATCAAAAACACTTTTAACATCTTTATTTGCCAATTCCCATTTTAAATACCCTTTTTATCTATTATATTTTTTATTCTATTTTAAACAAACTAAATTCAAAATACCTCTTTGGGACTCGAAAAATTACTCATTAACAATTAAATTATATATAAATGTATAGTATTATTCAAAAATTCCTATTTGTTAATGTTCCGTATTGATATGATGAAATTTTAGAATTTTGATTCTCCTTTACTATCTCATACGATTCAACCTAAAAATAAATATAAATTTATTTACTCTAAAAGATCCATTTTTCTACTTTTTAAAAGTATCAAGTTCTGCATTTGATAATATTAGTTATTCTTATTATTTATGATATTCTCTATTTAAATTAATAAATTGAGCCTTCCAAGAATCAACTTCTTATGATAATTATGTAATTTTTTCATTATAAGATGTAACATCCATTTAATTGAGTAGTTTAATTTTTGAATTATCTGATTCTTCTTACAACTATTTGATGTTCATTTTATTCTATTCAATTTCTTAGAGTTTAATTTTCAATAAATTACTCAATCTTTCAATTTCTGTAGAATATACAACATTTTTTTATTCTAATTCTTTAAGTTTATTAGCTTCACTCAATTAAAATTAAGAAAATTATTATCTAATTTTTTCAATTTCTTCATTTTTATTTTTTAATTGTACAGTTAATCTTTCAATTTCAGTACTTAACAAAGCAAATCTCTATTAATATTCCTTTAATTGATTAATATCTTATAATTTAAATTTTAAATTTTCTAGTTCTTCATTTCTTTATCTCAATATAGAAGTAACTCTATTATATTCATTAGTAAGTCTGTCTATTTCTTCAATTTTATGTTAAAGACTTTAATGTAAACGATCAATTTCTTAATTTTGTAATGCAATTTTGTTTTCATAATCATCTACTTTGTAATGATCATTAAGAGTGATTTATAATTTAGCAATACAATTTCTTAATTAATCATTTTCTTATAATTTGATCATTAATGAATTGTTAACTCTATCGAATTCTTAAGCTAAATTTTAATATTTCATTTCATAATCTGTATATTTTTAACATTCTTGTAATTAATTTTAATAAATAAGGACTTATTATTTATATTTATCTAATTCATCTTATTTGATTCTAATTCTTTGATTAAGATTATTGATTTCATCATTTTGTAATTTAGATCTAATTTCATATTCTTAATATTTGGATGTGTCTTATAAGGTGATTTATAGAGTTTGAATAATTGATTATAATTTAGAAATTTCTTCATTTTTATTGAGTGTTTCATTCATAAATTTATCAGAAAGTGTGTGATTTTCTCTATTTAGATCTTCAATAGTTGATTTATAATTGATTTCTTTATTTTTAAGATCTTAATTTAAAAGTTCTGAATCTCTTAATCTTTTGGATAGAATTTCAATTTCTTAAATGTATGTAGATTTGGATTATTCGAATTCTTCTTATTTTAATTTAAGTAGAGTAGTAATTCTTTCAAGTTCAGTAGTCAATTAACCTTAGACTTATTATTATTGAATATATGATTATTCATATCTTTTGGATTCAATTAAAGATTTTTACATTTATTGTAATTATGATTAACTTTATGAGACAAGTACATTTAATCTTTAAATTTCATTTTACCAATATTGTTCATTATCTTATGAATTTTTTTTGATTCTTTCACATTCAACTTAATGTTATTAGAAAGCTATATATTATTAATTGATTTAATTGAGTTTAATTTTAAATTATTCTGATTCATTAGTAGTTTCTCTTAGAAGAGTATTGACTCTATTGAGTTCAATTTAATATTATTATAGATTGGTTTCTAATTATTAGATTCTATGAGTGTCTTCAATATAGGTAACTTTTTCTTGATGAGTAGTTTTGAGTCTATGAATTTCATTTGAAAGTTCTTAAATTTATTTTTCATATAAAGATGATTTGTTTTTATAAAATTCAAGTTCTTCTCTGGATGGTTCTATGACTTTGACAATTTCTTAAACTTTAATATTATATTAAGATTAGGAAGGTTTCAATTATTAAGTTTCTAATCTAATTGGTTGTTGTGTTTATTATTGTGGAATATTTCTGGTAATGTAAACAATATTTGGAGAAGTAAGGAGATCTCTTGTATTTGATTTAGATCTTTAAGATTTATGAGGATCTTGATTAGGTTCTAGGAATTATTATGTTTAGTAGTAAGATAATTATTAATCCATTAATTCGTTAAATAAATTTATTAATAAAATTAATTATATGTATGTATAACACATAATTATTTAAAAACAAGTGTTTAATATCATTATGTATAATATTAATATCATTATGTATAATTAAATAAATGTAACATTTATTATGAGTATATAGATAGATATATATAGAAATATAATTTGATATTGATAATAATTATCATTATTAAGGTTTAGTTTCTCCTAAATCTCCTGCACTTCTATTAGCTCTATTTCTTGATTCATAATATCCAAATTCAGATGGTAATCTATAACTGCCTGGAGCAGGTGTTCCAGCTAATAGAAAATATAGATATATATAATAATATTACCTTTTCCAACAGATCCTGTTCTTCTTGATTCTTTTGGAAAACTTCTTACATTAGAAGAGTGGAATTTAGAAATGAAATAATGTCCATCCTTTTAAATACCTGTTTTATCTACTGGATAAGTTCCAGGTCCAGGTGCATATAAATTAGTAGCTAATCTAATTAAGAAAAGAGATTGTTACAAAAGTCTTTAACAAATCTTTTAGAATTCTTAGGATTGAATAATGTAGCACAAGAATTGTTATATTTTGATATTGGATATTTACCTACTGGATTTACTGCAGGTAAAGATTCATAAGTTCCTGGACCTGGGATTTCTTTACCAGTTAACACCATAAAATTAGTCTTTGGTCTCTATCTCATTGTATAACGTATATCACTTAATGTTGAACCTAAATCATATGTTCCAGGAGCTATTATTATATTAATGTATTTATATTAATCTACCTGGAGTCTTTGAATTTAAATTCCCTAATATTCCTGTACTTGCCATCTTCTCTCTGCTCATACCAAATTTATTTCCTTTAGCCTTCTTCTAATTTATCTCCACATCACTCGCTATATTATATTATTATGGAGATGGAGTTGTAAATGATACTTTTGTAAAATCAGTTCTATATATTTCAATCTTTTTACTTTGTTCCTTTACCTATTCCAGCTGATCGCTTCTCTATTTATGTTGGTAAATCATAAAAAGCCTTCCCACAACTAATTTTTATTCAACATCCAATACTTAACAGGATTTGCCAAATTACCAAATCTATCTGATTTTGAAAATGTCCACAAGTTTTTAGCTGAACTATTATTCAATGGTGAACCACATATCTGTTAACAAGTTGAAACAGTTATTGACATGATTTATAAATTAATTATTAAATACTAATATTTCATTTCATCATTTCTATAATTCTTATTCATTCATTACTATACAATTTTTATTATATTAATTATTTATATAACTATTCTCTCTTAACATTTATTTATTATACAAAATCATTTAAGTAAATTTTTTAATATTTCTTTATCATGTCTAAATTATTATTTGCTTAAATAGGATTATTTGTAGTTACTAATATTTTATATGAGTAAATTATAGTCCCTCTTTTAACATTCCCAAAACGACATCTTCTTCAAGTAGATATCTTATAAATAAATAATATTCTACTACAATTATTCAAAATAAATAAAAGCTTTCTCATTTTTTACATATTTATGTAATTAAGAAACTGGAATTAACACATAATATATAAGAGAGTTTAAAAGTATATTATTAAAAATCTGATATTATTTATATAACTTAGAATTAAGTACCATATATAAAGTAATAGTTTCTAAAATGAAATGAATTTCTTTTAAGTAAATTGTAATATTTATTTAAAATTGTGCATAGTTTATTTGGTATACTTAGAATAATTCCTTATAGAAAATTCCTACTGTTATTTATAAGTGATAATAATAAATATATAAAATAAAAATGAGTCATTATTCATTAGAATTTATTTTATGAATAAATATAAATCACAAATTTTAATGATGTCCAATAACTCACAAATCCCAACATGAGCCATAAAACAAAACATGCCAAGATGCTTTCTGAAAAATAGAATAAAAACTAGAAGAATCCATGCATGTTAACAAAATAATAATAGCAAAAAATAAATCCAAATATGTAAATAATACATTATCCTCCATTAAGAAATGATATCCATTACCAATTGTAATTACCTTAATTCAACTATTGATAAGTTTAGATGATAGATAAACAACCAACAATAATCAATAATTGAATATAAGAAAAGATTAATAATGTGTACTATTCAAATAGTTGATCACTCCATGTACTTTCTAAGATGTAATATAATTCCATTATTATTGATCTATAAATATATTAATTATATATACATAAAAGGTATGATTGCATATAAACATCCTTTAGTGAGAAAGTAATAATTTGAAATTAAAAGTTTCTTCTTCAATCTTTTTTCAAACTATTCATCTATTGTTCTTAACCTACCTGAGACTCCTCCTATTAGTGTTAATGGCAGGTATACCAGAGTAAGAATAAATCCTACAGAAAATAATGCTGTAAATGAGAAAGTAGATGTTGTACCAAATAAATAGGAAAGTACATCTATTAAAAATAGAATTGAAATTGCAGATGCAGGAAAAAGTACTGCTGTTATAAATAAATTTAATAGCCAACTCTTTCCTCCAAAAAATTTATAAAACTTCCCACAATAGTAACCATTAATTGCTATAATATTGAATCATTAATCTACTTACATCCGCCAAAACTGTATATGATTATTCCTGCTGATTTTATTGATCCCTTATGAGTTTCAAATAACGAAAAAGATCCCAAAATAAACAATATTAAAATTGTTATTAAAAAATGTATTCCTGTTCCAAGTAAAGCAGAAAACACTATACGATTAGTTGGAGGCATTAATGATTCTATCTTAATAGTTTTCCATCCTTATGGTTCTATTTCATTTTCTTCATCTGGAATATTATTATAATCACTCAATATTGATCTCTTCAATACTTGAGTGACTATGATGGCTAAAATGAAAATAATTATGCTTTTAAATATTAATAAATGCCATTTAACACTATGATCATGAGAATTCATCAATTCATTATACTATTTTATTTATACAGTAAAATAAAATGCAATTTCTATCCCATCATCTTATGAATTTATTGATATAAAATCTCCATCACTTTTTGTTATATTAGCATACATTAATGTGTTATCTTTCAATACATATAAATTAAATGTGATTCTATTCTTTAGATAATATTGCCCATTGAATATTCCCACTACATCATGCATCATAAAATCACCAACATAAAATTCCACTATGTAATCTTGATCTATAGCATTTATCCATTACTATATTTCCACTTTAGTTACATTTTTTTAACATACTTATTTATTTTCTATCTTCTCTGTTGAAATAAACTTATATACAGATGTCATCTACTAATCACCAGATAATGATTATCCCAAAGTTTCAATCACTTCTCCTACTTCATTTGGTTTACAATATGGTAATTAATAATATGTATATGTCTCTGAAGGATTATCTTTGGGTCTTATCGTATTTACATATATCTCAATTGAATTACCGAATGTAATTAGACATAATAAAACAATAATCATTTAACTAATTAATATTTTTTGAGAATTTAGAGTAGTTCAATTTAAAGTATTGGTTTTTGTAAATAATCGCATAACCCAGAATGATCAAATTACATTAAATTATCCTTTGTATCGTAAGCTGAACATATCACAATAGCTGTCTTCTTGCATCCCATTGAAATTATCTAAATATTTATTCAATTTAACTTACTTCTTTCGAAGTTTCAAATCCATTCAATCCTGGTAATTCTATGTCCATAAAAATGATATCATAGAATTAACAAGTAGTTTAAAGTTTTTCTTTTACTCTTTATATTGCCTAATAACCATCATATGCCTAATCACATTAAATTGCAAAATGACCTAAAATTGCTTTTAAAGCTATTTAATTAAAAATCTAATCCTCAACTATTAATATCTTTTTGCATGTAGTATTGCATTCATGTAATTATAAAGTGGATACTTTAAAAGAAAATGTTTTATTAATTATCAATTATCCAGGACTTTCTATAGATTTGAATTAAAAATAGTTAGATTAAGGTATAATTATGCGTTCACTGAAATCCTCAACTATATTTGGACTTTCATATGATTTAATACCTTCAGATTTTTATACAAATTTTTCTGAATTCTCATATTGATTAGTATTATCCTAATAACAATATTTTTTTATAATAAAGTTATCTTCTTATTATTAAGATTTGTTTCTAGCCAGAAAACGACCTGTATTTGATTAATTTCTAGTTTACTCCTACTCCTTTTATAACATTTGATCTTAAATTAAAAAGCATATACTGCTACCATCAATAGAATTAGATAAAATTTCGAAATTATTATTATTTTCTTCAACAAATCCAGTTGTTAATCTTGCTGCTAAACTTAATCCAAAACCTAGTTCTGGATGTGTAATTATATCATTACAACTATCACTGTCTTGATTTTTCAACATTATTTAGTTAAACGAAAATTATTTCTTACGATTGGTTTGTATAGAATTGTTTTCAACAACTACTTATATTGTAAAATCATCCAGAGCTTGAAAAGTAAGATTAATCTCTCCACCTTATATAATATTATTACATTGATGATTAAGAATATTTAGCAAAACTTATATAATTCTTAATTTATCAGAATTTACATATTTTTCAGATAAACTTGATTAAATTCTAATTTAAAATTATATCTTCTTTTAAAATATATATGGAATAAACACTTATTCTATCTCACTTATTAATTCATTGATTGAAAATCTACAAAAAAAATAAGCGAATTCATTAAGTTGATATGATAAAAAATCCAAAATATTATTCATTGAATATTATAACAATGAAGTTGAACATTTAAGCAAATCTAATTATTCTGAAATTTCTTATTCTTCCTTCTAATTGTCATTAACAATCCTTAAATATTATTAATTTAAATTAAGAGGTGTTCGCAATTAAAATAATTGTTTTTTAATAAGTCTACAAAATTATTAATTTTTAAGTTCAACTTTTGAGAATTTATGTTTGTAAGTGACATCTTTTAATATAAGTAACAATATAGGTTGATTTATTTAATCTCCAAACATTTAAACATCATTTTGAATAAAGGAATCTATTAATTAATTTATCATATTAATTTGAATTATTTTAAGTTTCAAAGATTTATTAGATTCTAAAGAAAGATTAAAACTAAATTAATTTTAATAGTTTTGTGATACTGGAGATTCTTCAATACTACTTTTTTCTCCATCTTAACTTCCCTGAAGATGAATATATTTCATTAAATATTTAGTTTGATTTAGAAGAACATCAAAAATATCTAATTAAACTTTATTCTATTGAGCTTTTTTTATTATTTCTTCTAAGGTTTATTGATTCATTTCGATTTTTCTGTTATTTTAACTCTATTAAGGTTATTAGGAATTATCCAAATTTATAAATTAATTTCTTAAACAATCTTTAAGTTTTGGCAGTATTAATTCTTCATTCTTGCATTATAACAACTTTAAGCATTTTTTATTCACAAAATGTAGTTTTTATGATTTATTTAAAATAATTATACCATCTGGAATTAATTGCAATATTTTATATTTTGATATTAGGTATTGAGATTCAGATTTATCAATATCAATTGATTCTTTTTTTTTCACTATTGAAAGTAAATCATTATATGATTAATTTTTATTGGAAAGTATACTTGGACTTCTCATTTTATCCTTTTCTCTAGATTATTCATTAAAAAATTAATGACTTGATCCATTTTATCTAATATTTTTAAATTTTGATTATTTTAAAGAATGCATATATCTATCTGTTTAATCTTCATCATTTAATTGTAAAGACAAACGAATTTTTGCTGAGATAATAGATTATTCATCACCCAAAATAGCAAATACAAAAACTAAAATAATTATAATGCTTTCTAATATTGTATAATCAAAGTTAATAAAAACAATTGAGAATAATCTCAAAATAATATAAGAAGGGTAACAAAATCTGAATATTTTATATGAAATTTGTTTAGACACAATTTCTTTAATAATATATTAATTAGTTACTATAAAAAGAGTATTGGTATGATTAGAAAAAGGATTAAAAAGTTAATAAAACAATAAGTTTATTTCTGTATATGTAATTGTATTGGCTGTGATTATTAAAAGTAGCAATAAATATTATGTTTAGTTTTTAATTTTTCTTAATTGAATTAACAATCCTACTTTCATAAATATGGAAATAGAAGACAAAGCTATAATGGCAATGTAATTATTCCATTTGAATATGATAGATAATATTATCCACCATACACATTAGACCCCTTCTAAAATTAAAATTATGTTTGTATTCATTATTAATATTAAATTTATCTAGTAAATGATTTTTTCTTATTATCTTTAAGTTTGAAATTACTGAACCTACAATGTATGAATTCTAAGAAGTTCAAAGTATTTTATAATAATAATAAAAAGATCAATTAAAATTCCTTTTAATTTAAAAGAGTGTCTTCAACACTTCTTCTAATTCATCCTATTTTACAGGTTTAGGAAGAAACGTGGAAATCCCTACTTTTTATCCTTCTACGAAATTTTCTTAAGTATCGTACGCAGAACAAATAACTATAGTTGATTATCTTTATGTTAATTCATTAATCTAATAAAAGTATTATTAATATATTTACTTATTTACTAGTTTAAAATCCATTAATACCTGGCATTTCAATATCCATAAAAATTAATTTATAAGTAGAACAATGTCCATCTAATTTTGTTTTTACTTTTTCAATTGCTTAAATTCCATCAAAGGCTTGATCAGCTTCAATATGATAATATTTAAGCATTAATTTAAGTGCAATTTAATTAAATGGAATATCATCAACAATTAAAACATGAACACATTAATCACATAATGAAATACTTTTATGAATAGTATCTATGCGTAAAATATTTTAATAGGAGGGCATATATTTATGAGAGAAATATTCAGGACTAATTGGTAAACAAATTTATGGTGATCTTTCTATATCATTTAATTTAGGTGTATTAATTGAAGATTCTGATTCATAAACAAAATTATCTTAAAATTAAGAATCTTAATCTAATTTTGAGTTTATTTATCTAATTAACATTCTGTCTTCAAATTTTCTCTCACTAAGTGTATATTAAATACCTGATTAATTAAATCTTCCAGTTAATTATGATACTAAATTAGAAGATTAATATTAATCATTAGTTGTATTCAAGAAATTTTAAATTTAAAATTAAACCTTTGTTCCTTAATTTTTTGTTGAACTTATTAATAATTGATTATAATTTGATTCAACTAAACCTTCTACTAATTTAGCTGCAATATTTAAACCTAAACCTGCCTTTTAAGTAACTTATTAAGTTTTTAATCTAGCTCCAAATTCTAATGTACCATTAAGACTATTTTAAATCAAACTTAATTTATCATCTTCAATACCTATTCCATCATCTTTAACTTAAATTTTTATTATAAATTAACTTTTTTATTTTACTCTTAATTAAACTTTTCCTCCTTCCTTTGTGTATTTAGCAGCATTATTTAATAAATTAACTAAAATTTATAGTATTCTTTATTTATCATTACAAATAATAGAATCCTTTAATTGTTATTAAACTAAAATTTCAAATTTAATTTTTTTATGTTTCATTTATATTTTATAGAGATTCTCAATTTCTTGAATAATCTAATTTATAGTAAATCTTGTAATGTGATAAGAAAATGAGAAAGATTAAATGGCTGCATAATCAAGAATATCATTAATTTAATGAATTAACAATGTAATAGAACACATAGCAATGTCAATATATTCTTAAACATTTTTATCTAAAAGTTTATGCTTAATAAGATTTAACATATATTAACATGAATTTAATGGGGTTCTTAATTCATGTGAAAAAGATTTAATTAAACTATGATGAATTATTTATTCATCCTTCATTAATTGAAATTTATGTTTGCTTGTGATATTTTTAATCATTATAAGAAGAACTGGAACTTCAGCATCATTATTAACTTATATATTAAGTTTACTTGAAAATTTGTTTTATGAAGGAAGTGAGATGTACTCTTATTATTGTCCTGTCATTGATGTAGGAATAATTGTTAATTTAAGTTTCTTTTAATTTAATTTATTCTGCAATTCTGATTCCATTAGCCATTCATAAATAAATAATTATTATTGAAAGGTCAATTAGTCTGTTTTAGAATCATCTTAACTACATGGTTCTACTTTTTAATCTAATATTCCATAATATTTTTATGGATAAAGTAGAATATCTAATACATCTGCTCTTCTATTTTCATTCTGAAGTTTTCTAACTATTCTTTAAAGAGTATATTAATTTATTTGTCTATTAGATTTTGTTGTTTATAATAAATTTGTAATTTCACTTTCGTTATCACACATTTTTGCATCATTAACACATATTTTTATTTTCTCTAAGACTTGTTCCCCTCCTTAACATTCTAAGAGTTTTTCACATTTATTATTCATATAACTGATTTGTTAGAATTAGTTTAATATCAAAATTCCTTAAGGAAATATATTAATAAGGTTCTAATAAAATATATGCAATTATAAATCGGATTTTTCTGAAATCTTATAATACTTTTAAGATTTGGATCGATTTGTTAAATTAGAAAATTATCCCAATTTTGAATCACTTTATTGATCCTTCATTAAATAACTTTAACTCTTTAAAGGTGTTTAACTAAGAGAGGCTCTACTAAAAGATTTTAGTAAAGATTATTATTAATGATTTGGAGAATCTTTTTCTTCAACTTTCTTTAATTATAACTCTGGAATTTTAGTATTCAATTTAGTTTTTCCTTTTTAACTATTTTCATTAACTTGAATTCTTTCAATTTTTTCTTCTGTTGATAATAAATATTAAACCAAAACCATTATTATGATTAATAAACTTTCTAATGAATAATAACTGAAGGAAATAAATATTATTGATATAAGTCTTAATATAATATAAAAAGGAAGGCCTAACTTACATATCTAACTCCATTTTTAAATTGCAATTTTCAAATAGGAATTATAAGTAACAATTATTAATAAACTATTTGAGAAGATGCCTATTGAGTAATTATAATTTAAGAGTAATAAGGATTCTATATATGCCACATAATAACAAAGAGATACTAAATGCACAAATAAAAACAATCCATAATTTCTGGTAATCAATATTTATTATAAAATCCTCATAGTGACACACCCAATTTGTAAATAAAATACAAAGTAATTTATTGGTTCAATGAAATACAATACCAAAAGCATCCACCATAAACTTTAGAGAATATTCGCTATGAATATAATATTCATTGCTAATAATTTTATTAGTTGTTTCATATGGTTTTTAATATCTCTTTTATTAATTATGTAAATTTAATTACTTACCATTTATAACACAATAAGTATTGTTCTTAACATTTATTAGCCAAAATATTAAATTTCGACTTCAAAATTTAAGAAAAACATGGTGAAATGTTAATTTAATGAATAAAAAAATAAAAGAGAATTTATTAGAGTGATATTTAATTAAAGTAAAAAAACACACATATTAAAACTTTGTTCATATTTTGAATAAATACTTTTTCAAGATTTTATCTAAGTCTTTCTTATTAACAGGTTTTGGTAGAAATTCAGTTATACCTACTTGTTGGGCAAAATTATAATTTTCAACAGTATCATATGCAGAACACATAACAATTATAGATTAGACACCTGGAATTTATGAAATCTAGTTATAGGGTGAGTTTTACAATTTTAGAAGTTTAGAAACCATTTTAGCCAGGCATTTCAATGTCCATAAATATTAATTTATAAAATTTACAATGTTTTGTCAATTTCTATTTAACCATCTCCACAGCTTAGTACCCATCAAAAGCAGATTCAGCTTTAATTTTAAAATGATTAAGCATTTAAATGAAAGCAATTTAATTAAATGGAATATCATCAACAATTAATATTTAAGAACAATTTTCACAATTATTTACATTAACTTAAAAAGATTAAAGTGAACTTTATTTTTTATGATGTCTAGCAAAAGTATTTTTAAAATGATAAGAACTTGTTGGAATAATAACTTAATTTGATTAATCTTCATTTATTCTTGGACTTTCTACATGTTCTTTTAATATTGTTGATTCATTTTAAGGACTTTCAAATTTATATGGCAATCCTTTTTATAAAGATTATGATAGTTCTGATTTTTAAAGTAATTATTAAGAAGAACCAGGTGATAATAATTCAAATCTTCCAGTAATATTACTTGGTTATGGAGATAATAAAAAATCTTAATTCATAATTTCTTAATTTTAAAATAAAAAAGAAACTTTAGTTCCATTATTATGACTAGAATTGATATCTAGATAATTTTTATTATATGTTAAACCTTTTACAAGTTTACCAGATATTTTAAGTCCAAATCCAAGGCCAGATTCATTAGATACTTTAGAAGAAGGTTTACAAAATGTTTTTCTTATTTATTCAAGTTTATTTGATTAAATTCCTATTCCATCATCGCTAACAGTTACTTCAATCAAATTACCTTTTATTTATTTAAATAATAAAGATACTTCACCTTCAGGTTTTGTAAATTTGCATGAATTATTTAATAAATTAACTAAAACTTACATAATTCTTTATTTATCATTTATAAAAAATTGATTTTATAATGATTAATCATATGCGATATCTAATTTGATATTTTTGAATTCTGTTTATTGATCATATAAATCATGAATTTCTTAAATGAGATCTTTGAGACAAAATGATGTAGTATGATAAGAGAATGATTTTGATTGAATGGCTGCAAAATCTAATATATCATTAATTTAATAAATTAATAATTTAATTGAACTTGATGCTGTATTTAAATATGTGTGTATAAGATCATCTTTTGAAACTTCTTTTATTAGATTCAGCATATATTAACAACTATTTAAAGGGGTTCTTAATTCATGTGAAAATGATTTTAGAAGTGAATTATTAATTAATCGTTCTTCTTTTAATTCTCTTACTCTATTTTTATGTGTTGTATTTTTAATTAATATTAATAACATAGGTTATGGTACATCGTGAGATGCTTATTTTTTTGAATTGGTTAATCCATTTTATGATATTGCTTCTTACTAAGTTAAAGTCATTTATGTTTAAACTAAAATGAATTTAAGTTTTTTTGATTAATCATTTTTTTCTTTATCTATAGAACCTTCAAAGCAAAAAGTATGTTCTAATGTAGAAGGATCAGAATAATAAATAGATCCAGAACTACTTCTATCTTATTCAAATGATACATTCTATCTAGCTAATACTGCTTATATGTATTTATTTGGATTTAATAAGACATCAAAAATATCTAATTCTTATTAATCTTATTTATAAGTTCTGATAATTTCTTCTAAAACTCTTTAAGTCAATTTATTTTTGATTCTTGTTAGAGATTAAACTTCTTCAGGTAAATCACAATTCGATAAACATTTTTTTATATATTCTACAACTTTTTCTTTTCCATCGCATTCTAATAGTTTTTCACATTTAGAGCTTATGAATTAAATTTACTAAAATTTATTTAACATTAAAACTCCTTCAGGTAAAACATTTACAAGATTTTAATAAAAATTTTAAAGTTAAGGGTCATTTTTATCCACAACTAAATGCGAATATGAACTTTTAAATCCAGGTTTAAGTTTTGAATGAAAAGTCGGTATAGGAGCGCTTTCTTCTCTATATGAATCTTTTATATTAATTTAAAAACTATTTCTTGGTTATGAATTTTTATCAGGATAAAGTATCAATTTATTTGAATTAATAGTAAGACGCTTCTCTTACTTAGCTGATGATTAATGTAAAGATGCAGAACAATTTTATAAGGATTAATCCAATTTGGGATTAGATGAAGTTGAATTTACTGAGGAATTTTAATTTGAAAAATACACACATAAAAATAAGGCCATTAAAGATGCAGCCTCACATAATTGAATATCAAACTATATAAATATTAAGGATATCAATCTCATTAAAATATAAGTTGGAAATGTAAATTTTGAAAATAAGTCTAGAGCTTAATTTTTTATTAAAGTTTGAGCCTCCATATAATTTAAAAGGATGATTAAAGTATTGATATGATTTAAATATAAATTCTTACTTTCAAAGTTAATATTGGCCTCAGTGTAGCAAACATTATTAGCTAATGTAGTAATGAGAATGAATCGATCATGTTACTAATACTTTTTAAGGTAGATAATAGAGGCAAGCAGCCTTGTTATTATACATAAAGAACACAAAAAGTAATTTGTGTAATTTGATGTCTTTTAAATTAATAACATTTCAACAATCCACCAGATGTTTTAAATAATTTGTAGAAGGAAAATGTATCTATGATTCATTATCCACACTTACCCTAATATTGAATTTATTTTATTTAAATATGTGTTAATTCTTTAAAAATGCAAATACAGTATTATACACATTATTAATTATCTAATACAAAGCTTATTAAATCAGACAAATTATTATTTAGATTAATTAATTTTTACTTTTTAGATTCTTCATTTTTTCATGGTTCCTCTATTAAGAATTTGAATTATAAAGAGAATTAATGAAAAATATATCAAATCAAACTAAATTATCTGAGAATTCTTTCTAGATCTTTTTAATGAACAGGTTTTGGAAGGAATTCAGACATCCCAACCTCTTCTCCTTCTCTAAAATTCTCTTCAGTATCATATGCTGAACACATTACAATTTATGTAGAGTCTTCGGTGATTTCGAGTATCTAATATTTCAAAAATAATTTTAATTTTTACTTCTTTTGTTGCTTAGAATCCATTTATACCTGGCATTTCAATATCCATCAATATCAAAGTATAATATTTACAATGTTTTTATGTTTATTTTTTAACCATTTCTATGGCTTAATATCCATCATATGCTTAATCAGATTAAATTTTGTAATGTTATAATAATGCTTTTAAAGCAATTTAATTAAAAGGGACATCATCTACAACTAATACTTAGATGCATTAAGTGCATAATTAACAAGTACGACTATTAGTTTGAGATTTATATCTAAAATAATCTGGACTGATTGGTAATTCTATATTATAATTAGAATTATCAAACATTTCAAGTAAACTCTCTGTCTAACTTGCTGGCATAAGTTTAACAGATCTATTTTTTATATTTTTTCTTTTTTTTGAAGGAGACATATAATCAAAATTTTTAGAATTCTCAGAGGATTATCTCAATACATTTTTACTCTAATCTAACTGACTAGGTTCATTATAAGACATCATTTATTTATAAGTATTATTTTTGTTTGTATATTCTGAAATCATAGGGTTTCTTAATGATTCATCTCTAAAAGACATTTAATATTCAATTTTAAAATAAATTTTGGTTCCTTTATTTTTATTTTTGGAAATTATTTCTAAAGTACCATCATTCTTTTATACTAAACCTTCCACAATTCTGGCAGAAATATTCAATCCCAATCCAAGACTCTTTTTTATTCTTGATCTATGTAGACTCTTCCCCATTGAACTTGTTAATACTTTTCTTAAAGTTGATAATTATTCTGAACCTATTCCTATACCTGAATCTTTTACTTAAATCTTTATAAAATGATTTTCAATTGCTTTTATTGATAATTTTACTTTACCTCCTTAAGGAGTAAATTTACTTGAATTGTTTAATAAATTTATAAGAACCTACATTATTCTTTATTTATCTGAACGTATACTTAAATTCTTAACCCTTTCATCTAAATTAATTTAAAATTCTATCTTTTTTGATTTTAATTAACTATCATAAATATATTTTATTTCATCTGTCAACTCTTACATTTTAAACAATGTAAATCTATATTTAAATGTATTAGATTGCATTGCAGCATAATCTAAAATATCATTTATTTAATTAATTAAAAAAAGAATGGATATATGAGCTATTTCTACAAATTCTAACATCATTTTATCTGAGATTTTATCTTTAATAATTACAAGCATATCCTGACAACTATTTAAAGGAGTCTTAAGCTCATGAGAAAAAGATTTCAGTAATGAATTATGAGTTTCCTTTTCTTTATTCATCTATTCAATTTTATGTTTTTTAGTAATATTCTTTATTTTAATAACTATAATAGGTTATACTACATCATTAATTTAAAAGTTTTTGTTATTGTAAACCTTTTATAATGAGGGTTAAGATAATTAATCCTATTAAGAAGATGTCATATATGTTGGAATAATTACTATTCTTATCTTTTTTATACAATTTCCTTCATTATTAATAATATGTTCATATGTTACAGCATCTTTTCTCTTAATAAGTGTTTCATTAACTGATTCAGAAATACTACTTCTTTAATCGTAATCACAATTTGGAGAAACTGTTTGATAATATGAATTTAAGTATTTTTAAGGATATAGAAAAGCATCAAAAATATCTAATTCTAATTGATTCTTTTGATGCTACTTTATTATTCTCTCTAATGTAGCTTTATTCATTTATGCCTAAGCTCGAGGTGGAATTTAAGCTAAAGGTGATTCATCATCTTCCAGTAATGAATTCTCTAGAATTATTTTTTTGATACTTTCTACTACTTTGTCAGTACCTCTTTGACCAAGTAATTTTTCACACTTATTATTCATGAAAGTTACTTATTAATGTTAATTCAATATTACCACTCCAGCAGAAAAAATATTATTTATTATATTTTGAAAGAAAGTATGAAGTTGTTAATCAGTCTTTTCAACACTAACAATTGATATTTTTTTTTGAAAAATCTTTTTTTAATTGAATTATGGAAGTTAATTTTTGTAATTATCTTCCAAAGTATTTGGTTTATTATATAAAGGAATGTTAGAAGATATTTCTTATTATTTATCTTGATTTTAAGAATAATGTGTCTTGCTTTTTTTAAATGATGGTGGTCCTAAAGATTACCTTCTTGAATCTTATTATACAAATGTCATAAATTATGAATTGAAATTCTGTTGTTCACTTAGATTAAGTTGCTTTGTAACATTTTAATTTGATTCAATCTTTTGCATAATTTCATTGTAAACAACTAAACATAAAAATATTAGAATGATTAAACAACTTTCAATTATGTTATAATTGGATTAAATAAATGTAATGGATAGTATTCTTAATAATGAATAGATTGGAAATCCTAATTTTGATACAATTTAAACATTGTTCAATTATTCTTAATTTGCATAATAGTAATTGGCTAGAATCATTAATGAATTAGTATGATTAACAAATGGATTATTCATTGGCATTCTTAAACTAACTTCTGTATATAAACAATTAAGTAGCAATTATAAAATTTGATATGTTAATGTTTGTTTAAGCTATAATTCAAGTACAATAAGAAAAATCCTAATCAAAATGAAAATAATTGATAGAGTGCAGATATAGTATTCATAAGGATAATAAAATATGAATGAGCAAGTTATCCACCAAATATTTTGTATGATTTGAGTATAAAAGAGTATTAAATAATTCATAAATTAATAAAAACATATAGAGTTGATGTTTATAGAGAATGTAGGAAACTTATTATTAAGAATGTTCTGTTGATAATATATTTTAATAATTGAGAAATAATAATATAAAATTAGTTTAAGTATTCTTTATAGATATAAAATTAGTATTGATTAAATGAATTGTAATAGAATGTATTGATAAAGGATGGTTGAGTTAAGGATTACATAGAATTAATGATAGTTTATTAATAAATAAAAATAATATGATAAATTAGTAGAATGTGAATCTATAAAGCAATGTTAAGGTTCAATCTATATTAGGGTTTATACCAGCGTTAGTGTTTTAACACATTCTGGAGAATTAAATAAAGGGAATATAGACTCATGTTCCAGAGATTCAATCATTTAAGAGTGTAATAATGTTTGCTGATATTTGTGGATTTACAAACTTAACAGAATAGCTTACTAAAATAGGTCCTGAAGGATCAGAAGTGATAGCATTTGCAATCAATAGATACATGGAATTGTTAATAAAATCAATATCAAAGAGTGGAGGAGATATATTTAAATTTGCAGGAGATGCAATCATAGTAGTATGGCCACCTCCAACAGGATAGAATGATAAAAATGAATAATTAAGAACATTACTTCGTTAGGGTATTCAGAGTGCTTTAGATATCTAAGCAAAATTAAATGATACATTCATTTTAGAGAATATCAAACTATCTGTTAAAATTGGATTTGGGGTTGGGGATATAAACATTTTATATCTAGGTGGTGTGTTTAATAGAAATGAATTCTTAGCAACTGGACAAGCATTGATATAAGCATTTGAGAGTGAGCATTGTGCTACTAAAGGAGGCTAAGTTATTATATCAAAGGATGTATTTGAAATGGTTGGATAACATTATAATTGTTTAAAGGTTGAAGATCGTTAATATTATTTTGTACATTCCAATAAAGGAGCAAAAGTATAGAATATCTCTAATGCTTTGCTTATTAAAAGTAACATAAGTGCATAATCCTTTGAATCTATTAAGACTTAACTTATTAGATATATTCCGGCTGCCTTATAATAATACATCTTTGTAAGTCTACGTATAAAATTAGGTAGATTAAGAAAAGTGGAGTTCGGAATTAAGAATATTAACAATCATGTTTATCAATCTAGCCATTGATTTATCAGCAGCTCTTACTTTTAAAGGGTTAACTCATATTTAATCAGTTGTTGAAACTGTATAAAAATCAATATATGCATTCTAAGGATCACTTAACAAAATCTTAATGGATGATAAAGGATCAACTTTGATTGTTGTTTTTGGTTTACCTCCTATGTCTAAATAGGATGATCCTGCTAGAGCAGTAATGACTGCAATAACAATGAAATAAGAGTTGAATGCAATTAATTGTGCCTGCAAGATTGGTATTTCTACAGGAAGTACTTTTGCTGGAGTAGTTGGAACTAGTGGTTCTAGAAGAGAGTAATAAATATATTAATTATATATTAGATATTCTGTTATTGGAGATGCTGTTAATCTTGCAGCTAGACTAATGTAAATTGCATGTAAAGAGGATCATCATTCCATTTTGCTTGATCTTGAAACATCTAAAGAAGCATCATATAAAATGAATATTTCATACTACAAATCTGTATTTGTAAAAGGAAAGGCTGAAAAAGTTAACATTTATTATCCAGAATCAAATTTAGAATTGAATAAAATTAGAATTCACAATCCTTTCTTTCCTAGACTTCTCGATAATTATTTGTTTGATATTAACAATATTAGATTGATCTAAAAAACTATCTAATAATTTTAGCAATCAAATTCATCCAATTTTCTTTTAAAAATTTCTGGAAATTAAGGATCAGGTAAATCATATTCTGTTAAATAATGTATTGATTTATTTTAGAAAGATTTTAATTTTCTGCAAATTAGATTATGTTCCTTTTTGTAGAAACAAGAACAATATTTGTATGCTATAAAAATAATATTCTAACATTTCTTATAAAAAATAGCCATCACATTAAATAAATAATATGATATATAATTATTTAATCAAATCTTTGATTCAAATTAAGATCAATTAGTATCGTTATTTGATTTTGAACCTGTCAATTAAATATAACTATTTGATAAACAATTTTAGGATTAAAATGATGGCATTGAAACTTTAGATATTCAAATACTTAAAGAAAGTTTAGATTTTTTATTTAAGAAATTTAAATCAATTACTAACTTTAATAAATTAATATTTGTTTTAGATGATGGCCATAACATTGATGAAGATTCCCTCAAAATTATTAAACATCTCATGAAGCATAATCAATTTATTCTACTTATATTTATATTCAGATAAGATTACTTTGAATAATTCTAATTTCATGAATAACATCAAAACTAAATTTAAATGATTGAAGAGGGATTAGAATCTATTATTACAAAATTAAAAGATAATAGTAATTTTGAACACATAACTTTTAAAAATTTATAATTATCTGATTATAAAGTCATATTATCTGATTTATTCCATATTAATAAAATCAAATGCTCAAAGAATCAAGAAACTTCTAATCTTTAAGATAATAATATATTACATTATGAATACATTAAAATGTAATTGATGTAATCTAATACTCAAGAATTTTTCTTATAAACTATATATAGAAAAACTTAAGGAAATCCTCTCACATTTATAACTTTAGTAAATATTCATTTCTTATTATTATTAGATTGAAAAATTATTAAAGGGTAATTTCATAATTATAGATAATCAATAATAAGATATTGTTACTCTAAATGATTCACTCTTAAATATATTGAATTTAGATGAATTTGTTATTTTAGAAGCTCCACTTAATAAATTTAGAATTAATTCATCATATTTAGACAAAGTAGGATGTTTAGAATTATTGATACTTAAAGTAGCATCTATTATTGGAGATATATTTGACGTATAAACTCTTAATAAAATACAACCATTCAAAGAAGTCATTCATAAAGAAAATTTAATTAAAATTTTAAATAGTTTGGAAGAGTTAGAAATAATTGAAACAATGGAACTCAATGATTTAAATAAATATTATCGATTTGCAAAACCATTTCTTAGAGAAATAATATATTAAAGATTATTATTTTCTTAAAGAAGAGAATTACATAAATACTATGCTTAAGCTTTATAAGAGATTCCATCTTAATTTGAAATTGATGAAAAATTGGAAGCTTAGAGATTGGAACATCATTGGATTTTGGCTGAATAAAAGTGGAATAGTTAATCGAATATTAAATCAAAAGAATTAGAATTATCACATAAGGCTAAGAGATCTATAATCATTAAATCTATTTAAACTAAATTAATTGCTAAGACTAATAATATTAAATTGGGTTTATTGAAAAAGAAATCAGATAAGAATGTTACTTGGGCAGAGAGATACTGTTAAATGACTTAAAAAGAATTAAAATATTATTATAGTGAATAAGATTATCATCGATCCCCTTAGAATGCTTTAGGAACAATCATTCTCAGTAGTATATATTAAATTGTTCCATTAAATGACAAAGAAAAAGTTAATTCAAAGTTTGCTTTTGAAATTAGAACTGGCAATTGGTTTAAAAGATAAAAATTAATGCCAAGAAGAGATTTCTATTTCTCTGCAACAAGTGAAGAATAGATGGAAGAATGGACTATTTATATTGAATTTATGAGAGTTAAAGCAACATATGATGAATTTGTTAATAATTTCGGTAAAATTTAATTTCCTATTGCTAATTTTAAAGAATTTTATGATATGAGTTTAGGTACAGAAATGAATAACTATTAAAAACAAATATAAAAAAAGATTAATAATAAATCTAGTATTATTTAAAGTTAAAAAAGAAATACTCTCATGTCTATTAATAGTTTTTTTAGATAGCCTGTTGAAATAAAACAAAATAAAGTAGAACCAAAAATACTTATTTCTTAATTTTTAAACAAAAGTTAACTTTTATTATTTTCTCATATTTTTCAAAATTCTATTTCTAACAAAAATCCTATCGTTATCGGATAAAATACTAAAGCCATGTTAAATTTTGGATAATTTTTTATTAAAACTGTTTCAGAATTATCTTAGTAATAATAAGAAAATGAAACTATATAAACAGAAGAATCTCCATAAACAAGACCTAGAGCAAGTTTGAATATATCATAATAGCTTATTTTAGAGAAATAAGCAGAATCAATATCTTTTTCTCTTAGAAATACAAAAAGAAAACAAACTAATGAGTAATTTTATAATAAGAGATCAAAAAGTTCAGAATTTCTTGGTTAGTTTAATGAAAATTCAAATACAGAATAATAATAACAAAGTTGAGTATATAATAATTAATATTTAAAAAGATAATCAGTAATTAAATTTAGTTATTGTTACTACTTTCATAAGATCATCATTGAAATTTGAGATTTCATAAATAAAAACAATTTATTATCTACATAGAAAACATTCTTTGTTTTTTTATGCCATTTCTAATCCACATTTATAACATATTCCACCATGACCACAAATCATTAAAACAGCATTAGGTGGATTATCACAACAGATTATACATTTTTAATTAGATTCATTAATTTTATTTTAGTTTACTTATATTTATTTAGTTTCAATTTCAACTGACTAGAGTATTTTTTTTGTTTATCCTCTTTCTGTCATTAATTCAGTTAATTTTTATGATGATTAGAGAAGATCTTCTTTAGTAGTTTACCTAAAAAAAGCAGAGGATAATTTTTTTAAGATAATTAAGTGAATGGCTTTTCTTTTTTCATATAATTTATTTTGAACTATTTAATTCGTTGGTAATTCCCTTTATTATTCAGTATCATTAGATTAAGATTGTAATAAGTAAACACAGTAATCAATAATTGGATCCCATAATAATTTAGTGATGGCACAAAAGATAATCAAATTAAAAGAGATAGTTGAATAAAATAAAACTTCACCAATTTTGATGGGTAAATCTAAACCAAGTTTATTAAAGGTATTAATAATCCACATAACAGTTAGAATACTACTGATGATTGAAATATAGAGAGCCCAAAGGATAGATTTATCTAGATTAAAATAGATTTTACATTCTTAAGAAACTGTCTGATATTGCTTGAAGATTTCATTAATAATTTTAGATATGAGTATAATAATTAAAGTGAAGCAAGTACCAACTAAAGCACTTAAAAACATCCAATACCACCAGAAAGCTTAAGGCCAGGTCCATTCAACATATTAACTTAATTTTAATGAGAGACAAACACTAGCAATCAATGATGAAAACCTATAAAATGTTTTTAACTATATTAATAATAAAATAGTCAATTACAAATCTAATGATGGATGAATATTCATGTATTATTTAGGATGAGCAACTTTATTTAGTTCTTATAACAAAGGATAGAAGTAAAAATAAATTTCCAAATATATAATATTCAAGATTGGTGTAATAAAGAATGATAACAAAATTCTTGAGTAATAGATGTTTGAAATTACATATGCCATAATATGGAGTACATGATCAATCATCTTAACTATTTGTTTATTGGAATAGTAATAACAGATGATGATTTCAAAAGTTATACTGAATCCTAATGGCACAGCAAAAGGTATTCGATCAAATTGAAAGAGAGTAAATAATAAGGCAAATAAGTTGTAATATAGGTAATGGAAACAGAAATAAGATATAATTTTCTTAATTTTGGTTCTAAAATATAATTGATATTACTTTTAGATTAACATTTTGTTTTTTGATAATAAATAAATAATTAATACATGAAATTAGAAAACAATTTGTGTATTAAATAAATGTATTATGTATATTGATATCATTGCATTCTTTATGCACTCATTCTAATTTGACTTCCTTATTGATCTAAACTTTTTTTTGAGTTACCCAATCTATTAGTTGATTTTCTTCTGAGAACACTGGTTAATGAGGTATCCATATCAGCTGATTGAACTTCTTATTCTCTAAATAATTCAACAAACTGACACCAACGTTCTGGTATTATCATTTTAACAAGAACAGAGAATATAATACTACCAATTCCAAATCCAAGACATAAGAGATGTTAATGTAAAGTTAAATGAGAAACCTTTACAAATTATCCTCCATATTAAATGAGTATACATTGAATGACCAAAGTAAATGTTTGGACACCCCAAAATAAAGGATTATTACAAGCATTAGCAAAAGGATTAATAGTCTTATAATCTAATTATCTACATGTAATTGAATTGAAAACTTGCATAACAACAAAAGTTTAAAAGAAAATACTCATTTATACAACATTTTTATGAAACTAAATAGAAATTAAGATTTTACTTTTTTTCCAATAAGTTCTTATGGCATAGATAAATCCATTACTTAAGGAAGATAGAATAAAATAACACATAAAACTGCTATTTAATAAATGGATCCTCCAACAATAGTTCTATTCATTGTAGGTGATACTATTTTATCTTCCCTTTTATAAGGTTATCTTTCTAAAACAGTTATATTAGGTGGTTCAGTAGCTAATGCTAATGAAGCAAAAGTATCCATAATAAGATTAACCCATAACATTTCAATAGTATTTAAAGGTGATTCTTTAAGAACAACAGCACCTAAAAATGACATAAACAAAGCAACAAGATTAACAGTCAATTAGAATTAGATAAACTTTCTAATGCAATCATAAATATTTCTACCCCATTTCATAGCTATTTTATATAATATATATATACCTGTAATAATAGAACTAAAATTATCATCTAATAAAATAATATCAGCAGCATCCTTAGCAACATCAGATCCTGTGATTCCCATAGCAAATCCAACATCAGCTTTTTTTAGAGCTGGTGCATCATTAGTACCATCTCCAGTTACAGCAATAACATTTCCTTCAGCAATTAGACCAGTTACAAGAATATATTTATCTTCTGGTGATGCTCTTGCCATTACTTTCATTTCTCTACTTACTCTAGCAAAATTTTCTTTATTTCCTACTACTTTAACTGTTTTTCCATCTACAATTTCATCTTTTAATCCTCCTACAAATTCTCTAAATTTCTTTCCTTCTACAACTTCCCATTCACCTATTTCTCTATTGGCTACTAGAATTCCACATTCTTTTGCTATAGCTGTTGCTGTTAGTATATTATCTCCTGTTACCATTCTTACTTTTACTCCTGAAGCATGACATTATTTTATTGAATTTGGAACATCTGGTCTAATTGGATCTTTAATTCCTGCTATTCCTATTAATACTAAATCTTTATCTAAATCATCTTCCTATATATTCTATGCGGCTTTCGTTAATTATGGAATCTATCCTCTCATATTTGATCCATGAGATTATGGATCTATATCTTTATAGGCTATTGCTATTGTTCTTAATGATTCTGATGCAAACTTTTGTATTATATTATCATATATATTCTTTCTTAATTATACATCCAATAATGATTCTACTCCGTTATTACCTATATACTTATTGCATTATCCTAATACTATTTCTGATGCACCTTTTGTGTATACTCTTATATATTATGTTTTCTAATTTAAAACAGCTGTACTCATCTTCTTTCTTTTACTATTAAATGGAATCTATCTTAACACCTTATCACTTGGCCGATATCTATTAAAATTATATCCAAAATTATCTGCACATTCCAATAATGCACATTCTGTCTTATTTCCTATTTAAATCCATTTATTTGTTTATGGATCTTTTTCAGGAAATGCATTTGAATTATAACAAATACTTTCACACATCAATTCTATTGTTTCCTTCTTTATTTTATTTTTATTTGTATGAACTTAATCTTTAAATGTTTAATTTTCTGTCCATAAGGCTACAACTTACATTATATTTTATGTTAATGTTCCTGTCTTATCACTGCAAATATTATTAGCACCACCCATTATTTCACATGATGATAAATTCTTTACCAAATTTTGTTCATCTTTCATTTTACCTACTGAATATGCTAATGCTATTGTCACTGCTAATGGTAATCCTTCTGGCACTGCTACAACTATTATTGTTACTGCTATCATAAAAGATTCAACTATTATTTATAATGTCTTTATGCTCAAAAATGCAAATTTACCCTAATAACAATCATAACCTAAATGTCCCATCAATGCTATAAAGGTTAATATTGATACTAACACTCCTAACTTACCTATATCTGAAGCAACTCCTTCCAATTTCTATTGTAATGGAGTTGGAGGATTCTCTTAAATCAATAATTACTTCAACTTTCCAGATACTGTGTTCTAACCAACTTTTTATATTAATTATTTAATTACCAGCCAATACAATCATTTATCCTGTACCATCTAAACATTTTGTTCCAGATATTAAAAATGGGCTTACATGTCCTCTAGCTGCTTCAGCATTTACTTATAATTGATTATGTTGTTGCTATGCCATCTCAAAATATGGTAACTTTTTTATCTCATCACTCTCACCTGTCATTGGTGATTCATCAATTTTCACTGCACTTCCTTAAACCATCAATCCTAATTTTATTTAATACCCAATAATACCATCTACAATGAACAAATCACCTAAATTGAAAATTAACAAATCTCCAACGACTAAATCCTTTGTAGCTATTTCTGTGACTTTACCTTCTCTTATGACCTAACATTTTCCATCATCTAATTTTCTTCGTAACTATCTAAACTGTCTCTCCTTTAAATAATTGTTTCCAGCTGTTATTGAAATGATCAGAAATATGGCAAAAAATATAGTAGCTCTAAGATATTTTAGACTCTCTTATACCCTTCAGTCCATCCTGTTTTTACCCCTTCATTTATCATACCAATCACTGTTGATACTAAAGCTGCTAATAATAAAATTTGTAGCATTGTATCCCCTAAACATTCCATTATCAATTCAAATAACGTTGTTGGCTCTTTCTCTACTGGTGTATTATCTCCATAAAATTGCTTCGATTTCTCTATTGCACCTTTATCTTGAAATCCTTTCTAATATAAACTTATTATTATAACTTTTAAATCTGTGTTTAGTTTCATAGCTATTCCATTATCATCTCCAAATTACTTTATCTTTTACATACTTGATCCATCATTTATTGAATTCAACTTGAATAAATCAGTCAAATCATCAATACTAAGTTGAGATTGAAATTATGCTTCAACGTCTTAATGTTATTTGTAGCTCATAATTCAATGAATTAAATTTTATATTAAATGATTAATATTTCAATGAACAATTAATTGCTTCAAATATACTACTTTTATTATTGCTAAGCTAATCAAGATTAAGTTTTACAAATTTATAAAGAAAAGCATTTTACATAGACTTTTTTATTATAAATCATAATATTATAATTATATATTAAAATGATATAAGTATGATTTATTACAGAAAATATAGGACTTGTTTATTATTATCAAAAAGATTAAAATAATTTTCAAATAAATTATTACATCATGTTGATCTTTTTAGTTTCTAGTTTAATTGCATACTCTTGTAATTTATCAATACAACCCTTTAATAGTTTCCTTGACAGTTTATTAAGAATTGAGTGAAAAATCCTTGTCTCAAGTTATTCAAACTAATATAAAGACATGTTCTATTCTAAATAAAATTGATTTTTACTTCATTAATGAATAGTAACCCTAATCTAATTATTAATTCAAAATAATTGAACCACATTATGCTATAGATTTGTATATTGATTTTTTCCTAATCGATTCATATACAGATTAAAATGTCAACATATTTTTGGATAACATCTTAATTGAACAATATCAGAAGCATTAAAAATATCCAATCCCATTTTGTGATGACTAGGTTGATAGTGAAATGTATACATATTTTACGACCTATTCTCATTTTTAATAAGATTTGAATTTATTGATTTAATTGGAAAATCCAACTAAGTTTATTCTAGGCATAAGAAATATCTAAATAGTTCCAAAATTATGTCATGATACTTGTAGTTAATGTATCGGACCATCAGAAAATCATTGCAGATCTTGTGTTTTAGGAGCTCAACTTGATAGAAAAACAAATAAATGTATTTGCCCTTAAACTTCACCTTTTTTAAGTATCGAACATAATTAATGTTCTATAAAATGTGACATCCATGATTATTATGATAATTAATTGAAGATGTGTTTGCCTGATAAAAGTAAACAATTTAGATTAAATTAGATATTGAATAAATGCAACTCCATTTTTGGGATGTTTATGTGTAGGAAAATTGGACAATTATTGAAAATGAAATTGAATCTGAAATTCAAGATAAAATATACTCTAATGTAGTAGGATTATTTTCAATAAATTAAGCACTTCGCTATCAATTCAATAACTCAAATATTTTTTAATCTCTAAGAATAAGAGCGGATATTTATATTTTTTCATCACTTGTTAATCCTGATATTTTCATCCAAGTAGATTAAATAAAAATAAACACCAAACCACTTCATACACAAAAAATTACTGGTTAATAGGGATACTAATTATTTCAAATAGATTAAATCATTGATAGTAAATAAAATTCTAAAATTACATTTTCACTCTAAGGAGATCCAAATACTAGATGGGGTATTAGAGAAGTAGTATTTAATCAAGTGAATTGCTAATCAGCTTGTTAACAATGTTATTCTAAAACGACATGTTAATTATGTAAATCTGGTTATTTGCTTTATTTAGGACAATGTGTTTAATCTTGTCCTAAATATTCATAGCTCTATAATGAAAACACTTGTAAAGATGTCAAAGAGAATTATCCTAATTCAGAAATTATAATGAGAGCCTTTGATGACAATTTAATAGCTAATTTTTTATCGAAAAATGTTTCAACTCTAGCCTCACAGAATCAAAATTATTATGGAACATATTATGATGGAATCAGATATTTGGGAGGTTTAAAGGATAATTTTATTCAACTTTATCAGAAATCCTTTTTTTAGTTGCCTCCTCATTACTAAATTATAGTTTAATTCTAAATAATTACATTTGAATTCAATGAAATTAATTCAATGATAAATCAAATTGAATTAATCGCAGATAACACTACCCTAAAAATTATAGATTCAAAAAAAAATCAACTTCAAGCAATTCATTAGGAGTTTAATCATGTTTCTAATAATTTATAATTATCATTACTATCACTTTAATCTCAAAATTCAATTTTTAGTTTTGGAATATCTAATTTAAATATCATGATTTCTAGATGTAACCCATTATGTAAATCATGTATTGGACCAAATGATTCGGATTGTTTAGAATGGATTTATGATCAAAATTCAAATGATTAAAAAAAATGTAAAAATGGCTTTATGTTTGATATTTTAAAACAAAAATGTGTGTTATGTCCACTAGGATGCTAAAAATGTTCTGATTAGAAAACTTGTATTCTTTGTGAAACCAATTTTGTTCAATAAGGTAATAGTTGCTATTGTTTAAATGGCCAAGTTGATGATTTTACTTTAGAGTGTACAAGTATTTTAATATAAAAATATTTATAGCCTATGCATGATTAATTTAAATTATTTTTAACATATATTAATATTTTCAATCATAATTATATTTTATAATTAATTTATTTCCAATTCCAAATAATGTTGTGTAATTTTAATCAGATTATTAGTTAAATATTTTA